AGGCTTCTAGAAGGAAACTAATATCAATTATGTTATTTAGTCTTTTATGACATAATTAAATTGTAATCTTTTTTTATTCTTAGCTGGTTCTTTTATTTTAAAAGAAAAATCCATGTGTACCTCAAATAATTATCAACTATGTTTTTCTTGGTTTTAAACGGGGGACAAAAGGATATGTTTTGTTAAATATTTAATCTAGAGAAATTTCTATGTCTAGGGATGTTGTTTTCTATGAACATATTTTTCCATATTAAAGGGTTCAAGATGCTAGTAATGAAACTGACAAGCCTAACATTCATGATTAAAGTTCTTTTATTGAAGATTAATCCATTTTGAGTTAGCCATTACAAATCATTCCTGTATCATGTGATATTCTGATAATAACAGTAATAATGACCATGAATCTAACATTGAGGTTCAAGAAGTATGCATACAAATAGATCAAAACCTCAATGAAGACCATGACACAAAACAAAATTCTAAATCTCATTAGCCAATCTGAATGAGTACTAGAACAAAAAGATCACCTGAGTATCTAAAGGATTATCATTGTAACCTTAATGTTTTGAATATATTTTCAAGAGTTAAATATCCTTTGAATTTTGTGTTGTCTTATAATAAATTATCATATGCTTACTCATCCTTTGTTATGTCTATTTCTTCACATGTTGAGCCAAACACTTATTTAGAAGGGGTAAAACATGATTGTTGGAGAAAGACTATACAATGTGAGATATCTACCTTGGAGTCAAATCAATCATGGGAGGTTGTCATTCTGCCTAAGGACAAAGTTGCAATAGATTGCAAATAAGTATTCAAAATAAAATATAAGACTGATGAGACTGTTGAAAGGTATAAGGCAATGCTAGTGGCAAAAGGATACACCCAAACAAAAGGTAATGACTACCTTGATACTTTCTCTTGAGTGACAAAGATGACACCTATAAGGGTGTTTCTTTCCCTAGCTTCTATGTATAACTGGAAATTGAAACATTTAGACATAAACAAAGCTTTTTTACATGGAGAGTTAAAAGAATATTTATACATGGTTGCTCCTTCTTGATTGACTTCTATTTAACCAGGACAAGTTTATAAATTAAAAAAGACTTTATATGGCCTTAAGCAAGCTAGCAGAGAGCAGTTTGCCAAATTATCATCCTTTTTGCTTTTTGCTGAATATACATTAAAAAAGATTGGAAGGCTTATGTATCTCATTAATACTCGACCTAACATAACTTTTTTTGTACAACAACTCAATTTCTTGCTAAGTCTACAATAGCTCATTATACTGCAGCAATTAGAATTTTCATATATATTAAAGGAGCTTTAAGTCTTGATTTGTTTGTTTCTTCCAACAGTTCTGCTCATTTAAAAGCTTTTTGTGATAGTGATTGGGGCAATTGCAATGATTCAAGACAATCAATCTGGTTTTAGTGTGTATCTTGGGAATTTTCTCATATCTTGGAAATCAAAGAAGTAAGGAACAATATAAAAGAATTCTTGTGAAGCTAAATATAGAGTAAAGGCCACTATTACATGTGAGATTCAGTGCCTAACTTATCTTCTTCAAGATTTCAAAGTTTCTTTTGAGCAGCCATCTCTTTTGTACCGTGACAATGACTCAGCAAGATACATTGCAACAAATCTAGTGTTTCATGAGCGTATGAAACACATATAAATAGACTGTCATATTGTCAGGAAAAAATTGAAGAAGGGTCTCATTCACTTGCTTCCCATTTCCACCACAAAGCAGCTAGTAGACATCTATACCAAAGTCTTAAGTTCTCAAGCTTTCAAGAGTATTTGTTTCAAGCTGGGTCTTATCAAAATCTGTTCCCCAGCTTGCGCGGGGAGGGAGGGTATCAAAGGATATGGATAATACAAGGCTTCTAGAAAGAAGTTGACATCAATTATGTTATTTTATCTTTTTTGACAAAATCAAATTGTAATCTTTTTTATTCTTAGCTGATTCTTTTAAACAAGTGTCTTGCTTTTATTAGTTCATTGTTTTGCAATATTCTTTTTCGGTTAAGCCTAGAATAGGTGTACTGCTTGTATATATACAACCCCTCTACATTGGTTTCAATCAAAGAGAGAGAAATATTCATTCTCAAATTATTCTATTTCTTCTTTTCTCTTGATCATCTTCTTTTAGTTTTCTAATATGGTATCAGAGCTCTGATTTTTAGAGCTCTAATTGCTACATTTATCCATGGTTGAAGTTGTTGATCCCTCACAAGACCTTAGTTCTCTTTACCATGTTAGTTCATTTGATAATCCTTCATTTCTCATTGTCCCGAATGTTCTTGAAGGACCAAACTATCATCATTGGTCATGTTCATTTCGAATGAGTCTCATTTCAAAAAACAAGATAAGTTTCATTGATAGAATCATAGAAGCTCCCGCTTGTACCAACTCAGCCAATGTGCTAGTTGTTTCCTGGATGCTCAAAGTTATTTCACCATCCATGGCATAGAGCATTATCTGTATGGACAATACCTTTGACAGATGAAATGATTTAAAGGACAGGTTCTCACTAGGAGACATGATTCGCATTTTTTATCTTCAGGAGATGATTTCTTCTTTCAAACAAGGTAAGTTGAGTATTACAAACTATTTCACTGAGCTCAAAATTCTTTGGGATGAGCTTGATCTTTTCCGCCCACTACCTGGTTGCTCTTGTGCCTTTAAATGTACCTGCAGTGCTCTTGGAAATGTTGCTAAATATAAAAGACAAGACCATATTATTAAATTTCTAAGGAGGCTAAATGATAATTATTTGATTGTTAGAACTCAAATTCTGATAATGGATTCCTTACCATCCTTAAATAGAGTTTTTTCTCTTGTTATACAATGAGAGAGACAAATTTTTGGTGATTAGTCCAAGGCAATAGCTGGTACTAATAGAGGAGGTTATTAAAACAACATTGCAAGTTTTAAAAGTCTTATATCCAGATCCTTTGATATTTTAAAAAATATAATAAAAAAAAATAACATCAATAAATATTCATCAATACATTTTGTTAAATATATTAATTTTATAATTAAAGTCGACGTTTGTTCTATTCTTCTTATAAAAGAAACTAAGATAAGACATTACCTTAACTTTTTATTATATTCTTGCTAGGACTAATTGTTTCAAAAGCAACTTGCTAATGGAATTACTTTATCTTATCACCTGCAGTGGCAAGATATTAAAATTTTTTACAACAAAGTTTTTCTACATATTTTCAAATTATTAAGTTTGAATTAAGTTATAAAGATTCAACCATGTAAATGATTGTGAGATGTTTTTATTTTTGGACCTTTTCTTTTTAGTACTGGTTTCGTGGTCATAATTTGAATAGTAAAACAATTCGATCACTTGTATCTTTAGACAATTTCTTGTTGTATAGATTCTTGCATGCATATTGTGCATCAATTACTTTATCAACGGGCAATTAAGTTTTCAAATACTGCATGGTTTCATTTGTTTTGCTATGTTTACATTATGTGATTGCTTAACACTGATTTTTTTTAATATGCTCATTGATTCCTACACCACTAGTAGCATTGATGATGGTTTGTGAATGTTTGCCTATTTTATATAAAATTTAATGTCTCTGAAAGATTTTGTGAAATGCACATGTTTTAGTGCTTAATATTGGTTTTTTTTACTAATTTGTTGATCATATACATCTATTCACCTATAGTATATTTTTCCTTGAAATGATTAACAAAATTGAAGCATTAAATTATGATATTTTTCCATCTTATATTCAATTTCATAAAAAAGAAATTGTGGGAGAACACCAACGACTAGTATGATTCTATTCTTCACTAGGTGTCCTATATTTTTTTTAAATTTTATTCAATTAACAAAGAATTTTAGATTTCTTACTGTTATTGTTGTTTATCTCTTAGGCAATGGGTAGAGCTTATCGAATTAGGCTACAAGAAGAAGTTGTTAATATTAAAAAAATTTGTGATAAGTAAAAGTATTGTAGAAAATATTTTAGAACATTTTGAAAAGATGGTAATTACAATAATTGGATGTATAATGATTTGTATTGTTTATGAATTTGAAGACTTTAGAACATTTTAAAAAGATGGTAATGACAATTATAAATAATAAAGAACTCTAATTTACTTTTTTTTGAAGAAAAAAATAGTTATAAGAAGTTTCACAACGTTTATTCATTTTTCTGCATGATTAATAAGTTGATCATGTCATCTAATTAGGAATTTTTTTAACATTATTAAGATAATATTTTTTAAATTAGTTAAATTTTTTTATCTTAATAATCTTAATTTAAAATTAATCTTTAAATTTTAATATATTACATCAATACAAATAATATATCTTAATTTTAATAATTTATTTGTGTAATATGTTTCATAATATTTATGATTTTGTCTCTTTTAATTTATCTTCAATATTTTTTTAAAATATTTTTTTAATGTGTGCACATTAAATTTTTTAAAATATCATAAATTAACATAAAAATTATGTATTTGAATGTTTTTATAATTTTAAAATAATAAATATTTTTATTTTTAACTTCTTAATATATGCTTTTAAATATGCATTAAAAATTATTTAAAATAAAATGATTTTGTTTTAAAATTAAGAATTTGAGACGTCAAATTTTCATCGTACAATTTATATCAATAATAATTTGTAAAATCATCTAAAAAGAAAAAGAAAATATTAATTTATCAAACAGAAAAAAAAAAAAAAGCTAACATTAAATACACACTAGGAGTGTTGAACTGAACCAATCCGTTTTTAATAGTATAACAGAACCAAAAAAGCCGAGAACTTAAAAGAACAAAAAATTGAAAATATCTTTCTTATCTCTTCAGTTCGGTTCAGTTTCCGGTCCAGCTGAGAAAACTGAGCCGAACGAACTTCAATGAAAACCAAACCGAACCGGTATAGAAAACTTTATTTTTTTTGAAAATTTCTGTTATACCCTTAATGATGAATAGGGAAACCCTAGGCTCACTCCCTTCCCTTTGTGCACAGCCTTTCCCGTTCCTCTCCCTCATCATCATCATCATCTCCGCTCTCCCTCACTTCACTTTCTCCGGTATCCCTGATTCCCCCTGCATCTCAGATCTGTCTATATAGGCCATCGACAAAGACAATCGAGCTCAGTGCTTAGGGACCTTTTCAGGTACTTTAGTCCCCACATTCTCTCATGTTTTCGTGTCCTGCTGCATTGTTGCTTAAGCTTCTTATTGACCATAGATACTATCAACTCTGTATACTCCTATTGCAATTAATTCTAAATTTCGGAATCAATTGCTTCAAATCTTACTGCCTGTATTATTTACTATCTCCCGTGAAAAAGAAGGCCCCGTGAAAAAGAAGGCCTACTCAAAATACATTATTTATTTAAGAAAATCAATATCCTATGTACATAAAGAGTTGTGGTGTAGAAGTATCCTGCAAAATTTATAGTTTAATTTTTTTCTGACAGAAAAAGTGGAGCTGGATTTGGATTGGGTTTAATTACTAATAGTTATTAAACCAACCTGTTTCTGAGGTTTTAAAAGTTCCTATAATGGAGTTTCACCAAACACAGATTAGATTGACTGTCAATTTGTTTAATTAGTGAACTTTCAAGGATGCTAATTAGTGTATTCATCTTTGTTGTATTTGTATGTGTTGTGTGTGAACAGTTAGTTTTGAATACCTATTCGTAAGAATTAGTTATAAAAAAATAAACAAGTGTCAAAGTGAACATGTTTATGTTTATGCATTTCAGTATAAATTATGTATTTCCATAACAATTTGGAGATCTAATTTGTTGTGAGAATTTGATATGTTTCTGCACTTTGTGTGTATTTTTTATATGAATTGTGACAACAGGTGTATGAAAATTGAAAACAGATTTAACCGATCCAATCCAAACTGTATTTAAATGATTTGGTTTGGATTGGTTTTGATATTAGACTGATCCAAACGAAACTGCATGTACTTTTTATGATTGGTTTGGATGATCTTTGGCTTCAAAACTGAACCAAACTGCATCACGAACACCCTTAAAACACACATCCCTACCACTTCATGTGTCTCACACACAAAAACACATAACTCTCTCCTTCCTAAAGCTCCAACAACAACGAACTGAACCAAATCAAACAAGGTGTGAGAGGAAGCCAAGAGAACACATACAACCTAATTGGTAATTTTCAATTCTTGAAGAATCTGAAAACAGGAGGTGATGTTTTAATGGAGCAGAATGAGAATGGAAGCACTACGAGCAAGGAGGAACAGGAAGAGGCATTGGTGGCTTTGATCGAACATCGTACCCACGAAGTAAAAAACTTCCGTCACCGCATTGCTTATTACAAAACTCAGGTTCATTCTTAACCTTTTGATTTCTACAGTTCCAATCTTCCATGTCATTTTTTGCTTTTCTATTTTGTCATTTCCTCAATTTGTGTTAATCATATTACTTGCGTGAGCCTTCTAATAGTATGCTTTTAGGTTTAGTTTTTATTATTATTTGTTGTGTGTTATGACTACTAAGTGTTCAAACCAGAAATTAGTGTTAGTTCATGTTTGAATTGTTTTGTTCCTTCCACTATGAAACATTGTTGTTTGTGGCTAATGTTGACCTATTTGAAGTAAAATCAAATAATTTGATATGGTCTTGGACTAGATATCAAATTCTAGTTTTCAAATTCCAGAGGACAAGTTGAGTTTTAACATTTAAATGGGGAGAAAAGCCAAAAGGTTTTGTATCTTTGCCATATCTAAAGTTAGCACTTTTCTCTACTATATACTCACATTAAGTTTATTTTAAGTCTATATATGTTTAGTTTTATTAATCTCTAATGGAAACCGAAATGCAAGTATTATTGCATACCTATAAGAAAAGATTAACACACATAACCAGAGTCTATGTCTCCTACAAAAATCCCAACAGATACTGGAATTCTGCTCCCTCTAACAGAATGCAACCACTTATTCCCTAGTGCCTCCACACCCCCGCCTCTCACTCTCATAATGCCCCATCAAACTAACTCATGCATTGAATTCCCTTTTTTGCCCTTGTCTTTTTCTTTCTCACATACACCTTCCACACTTTGGGCCTCTCAATAGGATCCAATAACTGATTCCCTTTCCCTTTACTTGTCATTTGGACCAACAGCCCTAACAATACCTCTTGCTGAAACAGTAGCTTTGACCTTAAGGCTAAAATGAGAAAATTGATTCCTCTTAATAAATTCTTACTCCCAAGTAGAGTCTTTAGTTGCAAGTCCCTTCCATTGAATTAGATACTCCTTGAACATGTTACCCACCTCTAGTTTGTCTCGAATTGCCTAAACTTTCTTTGGTTCTGTGACATTATCTGCTGTCATATCTTTTGGCAAATCAGGAGTAGCTAAATACTTGCCAACTTTTTTGAGCAGTGATACATGGAATACCGGATGAACTCTATAGGTTGGAGGTGATCAAAGCTTGTATTTCACTCCACCAATTTTTTCCAAGATTTGAAAAGGGCCAAAATATCGTGGGGACAATTTTGGATAGATCCATTGGCACACAGAAGACTGCTTATGTGGATGCAGTTTTAAGGAAAACCCAATTACCGATAGCAAAAGTTACATCTTTCTGGTGCTTGTCTTCATAACATTTCATTTGTTCTTGTGCTTTATTGAGATTAAATTTCAATTGCTTTAGGGCCTTATCTTTATCTTTAAGATCTCTTGCCACAACCTCTACTTTAGTTTCCCCATCCAAGTACCTCACCACTGATGGAGGCTTATGCCTATACACCACCATGAAAGAAGTGAAACCAGTAGATACATGGATTGTGGTATTATATATTTATATCACAGTTCTTCCCAAGGCAGTCACAAAGACTAATTCCAAGGTTGTTTAGAAGCGAAGCAGTGCAAATAAGATTTTTAACACTGATTGATCACTTTTGTTTGACCATCAGATTCAGGGTGATAAACTGTACTCATTGTGAGAGATGTAGCTTACAAATTGAAAAGCTCCCTGCCAAAACACACTAACAAAAATAGGATCACTATCACTGAGAATGGACAAAGGAAACCCATGAAATGTAACACTTTCTTTCACAGGAAATGCTGCAATAATTTGCGCCAAATAAGGATGCTTAAGATAAAGTGGGCATACTTAGAGAGCCATCAACGATCACCAAAATGACATCATTACCTTTAGATTGAGGAAGCCTTGCAATGAAATCCATTGATATCTCTTCTCAAACTTGATTTAGAATTGATAAGGGATGCAATAATCCACTTGGAAGGGTAGCAACATACATCACTTTCTGGCACTCATCACAAGATCTTATAAACTCCATGAGAAATTTCCTCATTCCCAACAAGTAAAGATTGCTAGCTAACTTGCGATACATTCAGTGATAACTGGAATGTCCTGACTATTAACATCCTTGGCGAGATAAAAAATGGTGCGTTGTAGGTCAGGGTCCATATCCACCTCTTCTTTAAGCTCTGTGCTTTTTTGCCAAATCGGAAAATAGACTAAACTAGCCAATTCACCTTCCATTGGCAAACGAGAAAGTGTGTCGATAGCTTTATTTTCAGGCTTTGGTTGATATATTACCTCAAATTGGAAGCCAAGTAATTTGGCCAACCAATTTTGCTGATCAGCATAAGTCACTCGTTGCTATAGTAAGTTCTTAAGATTTTTCTGATATGAATATACAATAAACTTCCTCCCCATTAAGTAACGAAGCCAAGGCAAAACTGATAGAGCTACTGCCATGAGCTCTTTCTCATAAATAGATTTTGAGAGGTGATTTGTAGAAAGTGATTTGCTAAAATAAGCTAAGGGTTTACCATTTTGCATTAAGACAATGCCCAAACCTGGGCTTGATGCATCACATTCCAAGGCAAAGGGCTGCGAGAAGTTGTACTTGCCTTTTTTAGGATTTCAAATGCTTGTTGAGCTGCTGATCTCCAATTAAAAGCTCATTTTCTTTATCAATTCTGTTAATGTTTTGCTAACTGTCCATACCCTTGGATGAACTTCCGATAAACCTGTCAATCCCAAGAATCCTCTTAACATTCCTCACATTTCTAGGCTCAGGCCACTTCAGAACACTCTACACCTTAGTTGGATCCACAGACACACCCTCATTTGACAAAATGTAACCCAAATACTCTACTTGAGTTCTCAGTTCTCACAACGCTAAATTTTTTCTTATTTGCAATAAATGATTTTCTTTGAGCACCTGGAGGACACTAGATAGGTGCTACAAATGAATCTTTTGATCCTACTATACACTAATATATCATAAAAAAATACAAGCACGAATCTGTGTAAAAATGACTTGAACATTTGGTTCATTGTTGCTTGGAAAGTAGTTGGGGCATTCATTAACCCAAAGGGCATTACAAGGTATTTGTAGTGACCATGGGTTCTAGATGCTGTCCTGGACAAATCTTCCTCCCTTATCCTTATCTGATGATACTCAAATTTTAAATCCAGCTTTGCAAAGAAGCTTGCACTATGTAATTTATCAATCAACTCATCAACAATTGGAATAGGAAATTTGTCTTGTACTGTTGCCTTATTAAGAGCCCTATAGTCTACACACATCCTCCATGTAGCGTTTTTTTTCTTAATCAAGAATTACTAGACTAAAAAAAGGGCTAAAACTATGGCGAATTATATCTTGCTGTAACATTTTGATAACTTGATGCTCAATTTCATTTTTTTGATGATGTGTATAGCAATATAGCCTAAAATGTATTGGTTCTATGCCTTCCTTTAGATTGAATGAGTGAGCTATTCCTTGAGAAGGAGGGAGCCTAGACAGTTCGTCAAAAACTTCTGGATACTCTTGCAACACTCTCTCTAACTCCAACTGTTGTAAGCGAATTCAGCACTCCCTGTTGTTTTCCACTAAGCCCCTCTTTTAAGTTCCACAGTAAAATTCCTTACATCCTTTTCAAGTGTTCCAAAGCACCCAGGAAAGAGTCTTTAAGGTTGGGATTGCCACCATAAGTGCACCTTGAACCTAGCACAGCAACACCTTGCAATTCCACAATCTAGTTTCCTGTCTTAAAGGACATAATCATATTCCCCCAATCCATTTCACTTTACCTAGTGTTTCCAACCATGCTACCTCCAAGATCATGTCCACCTCCTAAGTCTAGAACATAAGCATCCACAAGCACATTTGTATCTTTGAACCACGGGTAGATTAGAGCATTTTCCCTTAGTGTAGACCCTGTGACCATCCACCTCACCCCAAATCATTTTGTAGGGTCTATGGAAACTTCAGTGAATATACCACTTCTTGTGCCACAAAGTTGTGACTCACCCCACTATCAACCAACACCAAAATGGGTATCCCTTTCAATCGCATAGTTTTATGCACTGACTGATCAGAACTTGTCACTCCCATGAGGTCCATGAGCTTACACTCTAACCAGAGCCTCCTACAGAAATCCCAATAGATACTGGAATTTTGCTCCCTTTAACAGAATGCAACAACTCACTTTTTCCTTAGTGCCTCCACACCCCCGCCTCTCACTCTCATAATGTCCCTTCTAACTAACTAATGAATTGAATTCCCTTTTTTGCCCCCTTGCTCTCTTTTTTTCTCATATACACCCTCCACACTTTAGGCCTCTCAATATGAACCAATAACTGAACCCCTTCCCACAACTTATAATTTTTTTCATAATATCTACTTTGGTATGTGGTTCGTTATAATTTTGTCACAACTTAATTCTAAATTTTCTTTGATGGTCATTACTAAAGAAATTGGTATTTGCTTTATCAGCACTCATATAGTATTGAGGATATTATTAGTAGTCACATTTGTTTTCCATTATGTTTAGTTTGGTTTCTTTGTCGCTGTAATCCCCATTGGAACCTATTTTATGAATCTTAATGAATTTCTTTATGCATGGAATGGTAGCAAGTTGCTGGTGTTTTAGTATCCATTTTATATTTTAATTTCATTGTATTTGTCAAACATAACATCTCTACCTATGCTTTTGTTTTGGCTCTTTAAATGGAGAATTGTAAGCTGATTTAGTTATTGTATAATGTGTGAAGCTTGAGGAAGCAGAGAAAAGGTTGCAAGATTCTGAATCCAAATTGGCTCGCCTTCGAGGTCAAAGTAATGCAGTGTTGGGTAAAAGTAGCTTAAATGATGGGATTAAAATTGTGAAGACAGAGTGCAGATCAAACAGTCCCATTGATAGAAATGAAGGTTCTTACAAAAACCAGAATCAATCTAAACCAGAACTTCTTATTCCTTCAGTGAATCCAAAAATTTCACAACCTGTACTGTTGCAAAGGTCTTCTGCAAAAGCTTCAATAAATTCCAGTTCTGAAGCCAGTCCAGTGGTCCATACTTCTCCAATCACTGGTAGTAGCTCTAGGGCGAAATCTGATAAGTCTCATAGTCATAGACTTTCTTCTGAGCAGCAAAAAGTTGAAATCAAGGACAAAGGAACAAAAAGAAAATATGGTAAGATATTCATATATCATATCTAGGATGACCTTTATTATTGTTTTTATGAAGTAGATTTGGTTAATCCATTGACCATATCAAAGGAAATGTGCTTCTGTCCAGGTTTTATGTCATAACGATATTATTGGCTTACTGCTGTCTTTTTCAATTCAAGATTGTTTTTGCTTAAAGTTAAGCTTCATGATATTTTTCTATGCTTTTTAGATCAAAAAGAGCACAAGGAATTGATTCCTTTAATACGTAAGAGTTCTTCACCAAGCTTGTTACACTGTCAAACAAGCAATCACATCTCAAGCCAACACAAGAGGAAATTGCGGAGTATTGCTTTGTGTCCTGTGAATGATCAACTCTTTGTGACCAGGTAATTGAATCATTTCATTTCTAAAATAATTTTCCTTTTAGCAATTTGTTAAAAGTGGACTTGTTGACAATGATTAAAATTTGCCTTTTTATATTCTTCATTTCGCCTATCTCAGTTCTTTTCTCATCTTTTGGCCACAGTAGGTATGGGATCAAAAGTACTCTACTGGTATCTAAATTGTTAAATTGCAATATGATGGATTACTAACTATGCTTATAGTGTTAGTGAATGGAGCAACTTAAAAAGTTTATTCTCCAGGGGCAAGGCTTATAAGTTCTGAGGTTTAACTTTGTGACCTTTTGGTCTTTAAACTTATATTCAAATAAGATATGACATATGCATGACTGCCAAAGCAACACATCTGGTGTCTTACTATCTTTTTCAAATATACGATTATTGGAACCTTTTTCTAAAAATCCATTCATCAGACTAAAGTGATATAAGGAGGTGATTGCTCGGAAAGCATATGCCAAATTTGACTTTGTGAATGACGTCTGCCAGCAAAATTTATGCAGATGCATGGACTCTTTTATAACCCAAATTTATCATTTCAAGAAAAGTTTGCTTATTATTAATTATAATAATACATATTTTTTGGAAGTCTGTTGTTTTTTTCTGATGTGGTTTTTTTAGGGGTTCAAGAGCTCTTATTTACATGACAGATATATAATTATGTAAATATAATGGCATTGATATTTAACTTGTGTCATTTTTGTCATCCTCAATTTGAACTTCTCTCTTACGTAAGATATGTTTCTAGTCATACAAGATTGATATATTATTTAGAGTCTAACATATGCTGCCTTTTGGGAATTTGTGCAGTGCTTTGGATGGGGCGGTCAACTTGTGGCAAATTCAGTCTAAGGGGTATGCCCTAATTTATCTATTTGGTGGCACTTTGGAGTGCTTTTATTCTTATATTTGATGATGTTAATTATAAAATAGATTTGAACCAAATATAATATTCTAAAAGAGGAGTCAGTCTAATACTTATCTGGTTTTTGCACAAGCATGAATTTGTCTGTACCCCCAATGGTGTCTTGTTCCCTTTCTACTGACGGTCTATTAGTTGCATCAGTCTTCCACATTTCCACTCACTGAATAAACTTATAAACTGATCTCTGAGACTGAGATAATATTCTATTGTGTATAACCACATAACAACTACTGTATATAAAACTAGTCCTACTACTTAAAAATAGAATATCTATTAATAATTACAATGAATAAACGCAAATGGTGAATTAAATCTATACAATAAATAGTAATAATGAGGATATGTTCTCAACACTCACCCTCAATCTAGTAAATGGATATTTATTATTCTCAGATTGACTATATGATGGCTATTTCCTCTACCTGTTGCAGTTTCTGCTTGACTTTATGCAATGTATTGGGGTAGAAAACATAACTGAATTCTAAAATATTTTAAAGTTGACTCACCAATGTTATCTAATTCACATCTCCCCATCTTTAATTTTGTAGATCAGGAGCCTCTCTACTTAGTACTACTGATTGTGTATCTGCAAAGCATAGGAGATGGCCAGAAGATTTAGCTTGGCACCCAGAAGGAAACAACATATTTTCAGTATACAGTGCTGATGGTGGAGATTCTCAAGTATCAGTTACAAATCTGAATAGAGGACAAGGGGTAAGACTTTTGGTACAAATATCCTGGCATAAAAGTAAATATTTCTGTTTGGTTTCTTTTATTTTTTATTGCTATTGATGATATATGCAAAACTTGTATGTAACTGATAGGGAGATCGTGTAAAATTCTTAGAGGACAAGCCACACGTTAAGGGAATTATCAATGGCATTGTTTTTATGCCCTGGGAAAATACATGTTTTGTAACTGGCGGAAGTGACCATGCTGTCATACTTTGGAGTGAGCAAGATGGTGAGAATAAGTGGAAGCCAAAAGCATTGCACAGGAATCTTCATTCTTCTGCTGTCATGGGAGTTGCTGGTATGCAGCAGAAGCAGATAGTGCTCTCTGCTGGTGCAGACAGGAGAATATTTGGGTATGATGTTCGTGTAGGAAGAGCAGATTTCAAGCATCAGATTGATAGTAAATGCATGAGTGTCCTTCCCAATCCATGTGATTTCAACTTATTCATGGTTCAAACAGGGTAAATTCAAGTTGCTTTGGAATTCACTTTGCTAATGGTGTTTCTTTATAGTTCTCATAAGCTTGGCTTTCTTATGCAAAAAGAAATATTAATGACACTAACACACTTTTTATTATTGGTTGAAATTTTTTAGAATTATCTCACAATTTAATGAATCTTATTTGTGCTTTTATTGTTTTAAATAAATTTCAACTAATAATTGAGAGAATGTTAAAATAATGTGTTCCTACCACGCTTATGCAGAATTTATAACATACCTCAAATTTCATGTTCTTATCTGTCTTGAATGTTTGGTTTTCAGTGAAAATTATGTTCATTCAAAAACAGTAATATAAGATTTGGTCCAAAAGTTTGAACCCCAGATGAAATTGCTTGCATTATTACTCTCTTGTGGTTCAATAAATTATTCTCATTGCTTATGTTGTCAGTGCACTTTGGAGAAATAGGAACAAAAAAAAGGATAGAGGTTTGGTTCCCCAACCTGAACTCCCGTACTGCTGGATGTGGTGTACAGCTATCATTCTATGATATTGTGGCTTTTTACATCTTTTAATTGGAAATATGAAATCTTTTTGAAAATCATGGAAATATTATGCATACAACAGCACAATGGTGAAGAAACTTATTGTGGTTTGTTGTGCACATCCTTGGTTTACAGACTTAGGCTATGTTTGGTAAAACTAATTGCAAGCTTATAGCTTTACAAGTAGCTGATTGAATTAGAGTTGTTTAGTAAAACTAGTGGAATGTATTAAATGACTAAAAAGGACGATAATATTACATAAATATAATATTAGAACTAAATGAGGAGAGAGAGAAATTTAAGATTTGTTTCTACATGTAATTTGTTTAAAAGGGTAAAGGTAAATAAAGATGAGATATAATTATTGGTATCTATTTGCTATAAGCTAAATATTACTTTAACAAAATTTTAGAAGCTAGCTTTTAGAAGCTGTAAGCTTATTCTATTTTGTGGTTACCAAACAGTTCTGCTAGCTTATTTTTTTAAGCTATAAGCTTGTGATACCCAACACAACCTTAGTTATATTGATGTGCTTCTAATGTTAGGATGAAGAAATAAAAGATTGCGATAACTGGCCCATAATTCAGCAGGTGCATCTCTCAGACAGTTTAATCTAGAGAACGATAAATCCTCTCAAAGTTGAATGTGAGGATGTGTCTGATCTTCAACAGTTTTTTTAATAGCTAGAAAGTCCATGTTATTTGAATTCTGGATTGGAATGATGTTTTTATGTTTTAAAGTCATATGCTACTTGACAATAATTTTGATTGGTAACTTGTACATTGAATTCAGCACAAGAGGTCTGCCTTTAAGATTTGAACATCATAATACTCTTTTGATCTTGTTTCCATCTCAACCGGCATTTTTTTATTGCTATTCCTTGGTATTCTTTTATTGGATGTTAGTTTATAGTAGCTTATCTACTTTTCATTCTACTAGGACCCATGAGAAGCAGCTTCGGTTATTCGATATTCGGTTAAGGCAGACAGAACTACATGCTTTTGGATGGAAGCAAGAAAGTAGTGACTCTCAATCCGCCCTCATAAATCAGGCTTGGTCTCCTGATGGACTATATATAACATCCGGTTCAGCAGATCCTGTGATTCACATATTTGATATTAGGTATAATTCTCACAAGCCTGCCCAGTCCATAAGAGCGCATCAGAAACGTGTCTTCAGAGCCATGTGGCTTCAGTCTGTTCCTCTTCTCATTTCCATATCATCTGATCTAAACATTGGATTGCACAAGGTTTACTAGAACCTCTTGCCAATGACCGAGACCAACTCTGCTCTCCACCCTTTTGTTGGTGCTGGGTAATTGGTTTCTATTTAATCTTGGGATTTCTGAGGAAAGAATATTAAATTTTTTCAATGTATGACTTGTGGAATTTTGGGGTTGCAAAGAGAGGAATTTAATTGGAAAATAGTTCCAAAAATTAGGAAAATTTTGGTTGGGAAAGGCATGCTCAGATGCTGGCAAGTTGTATTTTACTGATATTGTCATTTAAAGCAGAAGAAAGTATGAGCTATGTCCTGCTTTTATTTTTTAAAAAGGGGGCTAAAACCGTAAAAGAAGCTTTATTTGTGTTTTTATAATCAAACCTTTTTCAGTACTTAAAAAGCTATTCGTACCTCTTTTAAAAAACTTATTGTCAAATTCAACATCCGAATATAAAATGATTTTTACTTATTGAAATATATTTCTTAATCATATACAAATATTTTTGGACTGCAACATCCAAACAACCCTAAAATAATTTATTTGTTTTAATAAATCTTGTCTTTTCTGTAGAAATTAGGCCTTTATATTTAACTAAATCATATCAACCAATGAATTTGCTTGCCCTGCAATAACCAAAAAGAAACCACAAAAAGAATGATGCTACACAAAATGGAACAAATAATCCACTCGGGCATTATTATTGTTAAAACTCAAACAACTAACTAGTAGGAAAACAGCCTGAATAAATTACATCTGGGAGAACGAAATAGAAATAATTTATCATGTAGGTGAGTTACATACCCTATTTAACGAAATCCTAATCCAAGGGAGGAGCATTATAAACTTTATAAAGGCAGAGAAGAGGGGAGAAGGAAATGGAGAGAAAAGTAACACTTATTATGTGCAGTTGAACTCATGCACGCATAATTGGAACCCAAAATTTTTAATTAGGTTATATGTGGTTTTTGAATAACATAACGGAATCTAAAACCCATCAATCTGTCCATTTCCTAGTGTTTTATTTTCTCAGTGCAAGTCATTTTGTTATGCTAAGGTAGTACCTAAATAATAATAAATAAATAAATAATAGAAAATAGAGTGAGCAAAAGGGAGATGAAATAGAGAAACTAAATTTACATTGCAAGGATTGAGATCCAAGCATTTAATAATGATGAAAAGTAAGGAAATATCACTATAGATGATAGTAGTGGAGTTATAACTCACTTCTAATTTTGGAGTTTATGAGGTTGACAAAGAAACTTTGTTGATGAGTTTCCTCCTATTTTTCACTGAAAAATGTTTTGTACTTTGTTTGAAGTATCAGATATGTTAACGACAAAATAAGATAAGTTAATTTGAGTAGTTGATAATTGTTCCAACTAAATTCACTTATTGACTGCTAGGATGCATTTTGATTTTGGGTCAAGACATAAAATAAGATAGTATCTAATGCTAACGCATATCCCAACTATTATGATGACCTTCAACTACTATTGCATATTCCTTTTCCTTATTTTTTTTTGACACCATTAGGACATTGGCCAAGCCTATATAAAAAGGCTTTATGCTCCACACTTGACATACTTTGACTTCTCTACACACCTTTCTCTTCTTAGTTCTAACCAAACTCATCTTTGAGAGTCATTGGAGACCATTGGCAAGAATGACGAGCTTCCTTTTAGAGTCTAAACAAATAATTGAGCTATGACTCATCTTTTACCTTTCTGAGTTTCTTTTGTTTAAGTTTTTCTTTGTAGTTATGAGTTTCTTTATCATGTTTTTCGTAGTTTATTTTGTTATGAATAACTAAACCTATAGTTAGGGTTATGACGGATCCTACTGCAAACTTTGTGTGATTTTTACTTTAATATTGGTATTCGTTTTTCTTTAATATTTAGTTTTTATTCTATTGGATTATATTGTGTATGTTAAGATTTGATCACTCTTAACACTCTATAGTTAGTTGCATTATAGGCGATCATACCACGTGTAATTAACGGAACTATAAGATAAAACGAGATAAAGAAGTGAGATTAATCACACTTAATTTTTTCCTTTCAGCCGTTATTGAATTAACAAACTCATAGAATCTTCGTACTTTTTCGACCAATTACCTTGCATGATCATTAAGGGTGTTTGTTCAGAGAAAATAATATTGATATTGCATAATCATTGGGTGTTAATAGAACTAATAATGAGTGGTTGACAAATATTTGGATATCAATCATGCGCATTACAAAATAATATGGAAATGCATAAAAAAAAAAGATCATTCTAATAAAATGCACACTTATATAAATAATTTTAAATTTTAAAATAAATTTGTCTCTAGTCATTGGATCTAGAGTTTTACTAAGATTTGTTAATTTATATAAGTACATCAATTTTTTTTTATTGTTATTGAATGTATACGCAACTAATAATTTTTCTGTCTACTACATTAGTAGTATTAAATTAAAATAAAATTTTAAACAAATTATTATTATTATTATTATTATTATGTTGTATGATTATTTTAAATTTAATAAAGTTTATAATTTTAAAAAAATAAATACTGTAATTATTAATATTAAGTATTTTATTCTATTAAAAAATCAAAATAATAAATAATAATTATTTAAAAATTTAAATCAATATGAAATAATATATATATATATATATATATATATATGTAATTATAACATAATTTAGCATATTAAAAAATCAACTAATTCCTTTGAAAATTTATTTGATAATATTCTAAATAATGATTTTATTTAATAATTAGTATTTATAAGTTATATACGGAGGTAGATGATCGTGAGTTTTGTTTATGATTAATTAGAGCACAAAGAAATGTAGTAGGTGAACTCATAAGTCCTAAACTTATCTCATCTGATCTCTATCATACATTATATTATTGTTCTTTTAATTTATTGTTAAAATTAAGTTCTATTTTTTATCTGTTACAATCTCATTATATTTAAACAATCAAATTAAGTTATTCTTGATACTTTTAAATAATCTCTGTAGAACAATAACTTGAAAAATCTTAATTTAAAAATCTTTTATTACTTTTTGATAGGTACATTTGCTTACAAACAATCACAGATTAGAATCAAAGAAACAAAAATGATTATTTTTTATATAGATGAAAACAAGGTGAAAAGAAAAAAGCAAACAAAAAATTTTTATTTCTCAAAATTCTTCAAATCATTTTTCTCCATTTGTAGAACAAGCAAACAATAACTCCAGAATTTATATGATGTATATATTTTTTAAATAAAATCAAGGTGAGTTATTACAAGTTAAAATTAAGATTTTTTTTTTTTGCCTATTTAGAGTTTATTTTTTTTAAAAGTACTTAATGATGTTTGAAAAACATATTTTCTATCTAAAATTATTTTTGACACATGACACGGTAACAAAATGATACTCTATTTTTTATTTTTTTTAAAATGAGTATTGTCTCAATAAGTGTCGATATTTATTTTTAAAAAATTAAATTAATGGTTAAGATAGAGGATGTCACGTGGCACAATATCGTGATTAATATAATAAGCATAATTTGTTAGGATTGCACAACCTAACAAATTCTTAAAATATTACATTGCTACTCTTTTTTTCTTTCTTTTCTCATTTCTTTTGCCAAAAATAAAAATATATTCCTCTTTCACTCAAATACTCTATTATTGATAATATTCTTTGATAACAAAAATCTTATTTTGGACATAGACTTTTCATTTTTTATTTTTTTAATTTTTTCTTACTGGAATGAAAAAAGAGAAATAACAAATGAAAAAAATTAAAAAAAAGAGACATGTCATATAAACGTAATTTTGACTAGCATTAACAATCACATTGCTAATACTATTTAGAATTATATCATGTAACATCATTCACACTTAATCATTAATTTAAATTTTTAAAATAAATATAAATACTTATTAAGGTGATACTTATTTTAAAAAAATTAAATTTATACTATGCCTGAAAAATGTTTCTAATTAGAAAATATATTTGTCATATGTTCTTTTTAAGTTTTTTTTTTAATTAATCTTAAAAAAAATCAAAATTATATACTTATTCTCAAATATTTTGATAATTATATATATATTTTTTAAAAAATGATTTGATTGATTATAATTACATTCAGACATACACTTAAAAAATTTTTTTGTTAACTTCAACTTTTAGAATTTAATTTAAGTATTTATAAATATATTTTTTTTTATAAAAGATACATAATTATTATATTAATATTATAAAAATATAATAAATACATATCTTTTTAATAAATTTTTACTATTAAACTTTTTCGTCGTTTAACAAAACAAAAAATATATATTTTATTTTATTTTTTTCTCAGGAAGATCAAGAGCTCGAGCCAGCACAAGTTGCTTACTATTCTGCGCTCAACTGCTCTATGTAATTAATCAATCTCTATCTCTTTCTCTTTTTTCCATTCTCTATAGTCATAACTTGTTTGAATTAATTGCGTTCTTGATCATGCCCTAGACATCTACGTTTTACTGCATTCTAGATATATTTGAAAGCTTTGAATTTTGATTAAATGGTTGTTGATTTTGAAAATGCATGAGGGTTTGGGATCAACTCCTCCCATAGTTTCTTCCCATCTTACTACTGGGAGAGAGAGAGAGAGATAAAAACAAGTTTCATTGTGGCTACTACACATTCTTTTTCCTCTTGTTTCCCTTTCCCATTGTTTTCATCTCTTTTATTTTTACTGGGCATTGTTTAGTGATTTGAATAATCTGTTTCTGTTGCTAACTTGTGCAGTGATTGAATGGAAGCTGAAGTCTTGGGCATGAACATGGAGGAAAAGCTTTCTGGATTTATTTTCATGTGTAATAGAATTACAAAACCAGAGTGCTATCGGTGTCGAGTTTTTGGGCTTCCTTCTGGGAGAAAGGAAGTTGTAGAGAAGATCAATCCTGGCACATACCTTTTTCTGTTTGACACTGATGTGAAGCTTCTCTATGGCATATATGTTGCTACCTCAACTGGGAAGCTAAAGATAGAACCTTTAGCTTTTGGTCAGAAATTCCCTGCTCAGGTATCATTGATGACACGCTAAGCTAAATAAATGCCATTCTCTACCATGACTGGTAATTTCTACCGTTTTACTATTGCCTGAGTATGACAAAATTGCTCTTTTCTCAAACTTAGTCATTTGGCTGGTTATTAAATTAGCTGGTTGATCTGTTTGTGCTTTAAGACATATAGTATGCCTTTTGGGTGTTAATTTCTTAATTTGCTTGTGGGGGTGGATATATATGTAAAATTATAATTGGTTCTGGGTTCTGGCAGGTTTTTCTGATGCATTTGGAAATCATATTTATCACTATTGACTTTGATATAGTTTTTTAAGGAGTAAACTAGTGAACATTAATGTCAATTGTTTCGAAGTTGTTGTCATTATTGTTCTTCATTGTAACTTTGTGTGCTTGGCTGGTTGTTTATATTCATTTCCTATTTTTACCTTGTTTTGGTCAATGTTTGTTTATTAACTTCATTAGTCAGTTAGCTAGCTTTGTTTTTTAGCATGTGACCAGTATGTGCCTCTCTAATAACACTGTACACAATTACTTGGTGACATCAAATGCACCTCGTCTTGTTTTATTTTTCTTTTCCCATTTACCTGCTTTCATTTTTCAATTTTGTTCAGGTGAAATTCAAAAACAAAGACTGTTTACCCTTGCCAGAGAATTGCTTTAAACATGCCATTCAAGATAATTACCTGAAAGGCTCCAACAAATTTAATCCTGAACTCAATATTAGACAAGTAAACTTCTTTTTGTTCTATGGTAAATTGATTTTAATTACAATTATTTCAGTCTTTTTTTTTTCCTTTTTGTGTAGAAGTTAGTTTTGTATGGACTAATATGTCTTTTTAGTTGAAATTTATTGCTCTGTTGTAGGTAAGAAGTCTAATAGAATTGTTTCGCCCATTACATGTATTGCCAACAACACCTACACATCCTGTTTGGGAGAAACCCGTGAATTATGTTTTTGATCAGATATCAAGGCCACCCCTTTCTGATGGCATATTTTTGTCTAGGATATCACCTAATCAAGCTCCAAGGTTGTTGAACTATGAACATGTAAATAAACTCGAGGCATCTACTGGTCCTGCCTATCCTGTTAATGATGTTATGCCTAATTCAGCTGCAGCACAGTCTGTGCCATCCCAAGCTTCAAGTTATCAGCTTTATGCACCTCAATATTCACATCAGGCTATCAATCCACAACCTGAATTTCATTCTTCCCTGGTGAATAGTTGTCAAGCTCAATCATTGCAAGATTCTCAACATGCACATCACACTATCCTAAATTCGCCACCTGAATTTCAGTCATCATCAATGACCATGGGCAGTAGTCATGCTCAATCAGTGCAAGTTCCTCAATATCCATATCAGAGTATCCCAAACCCATCAACTGTGGGCGATAATCATGCTCAATTAGTGCAGGTTCCTCAATATCCATATCAGAGTATCCTAAACTCACTGCCTGATTTTCATTCCCAAGTGGCAAATGCAAGCAACAGTCATACCCATTGGTCATGGTATCCCCATTATACACACCAGAATATCCCAAGCTCGCAACTTGACACTTTCTCTACCACCACAGTGAATACGCGTAGTGTTTATGCTCAAGTATTGCCAGATCATCAACACACGCACCAGAATGCCCAAAATCCACAACCTGATTTCAATTCCTCTACAGTGAATGTGGGCCATGCCAATGTCATGATGCAATCGCACGCTTCCTCGTCATCATATTATCCATACATTCCACAAGAAGCTGTGTCTGCCACATATTCATCTCAAGGGTATTCTTCAACTTTATTCTAAACATTTAATACAAAGCTACCTTTGCATAGGTATTTTATTAATTTTCTTAACTTGAACAAGTAGATGATTCATTAACCTAAAAGCTACCATGTTTAAGATTCCAGAGGAGAAAGCATTGCTCCATTACAAATTTTATAATTGTTTGCTGAAAAAGCATTCATAGCCATGTGCTTAGTTTTTGACTGAGTTCAGTAACGTTAAATGATCCATATAGCAAACCTCACCTAGTGGAAGATAAGGCTTCCTCGTTGAACAAGCATTCATAGCTATGTGCTTAACGCATTTTGCCTATATGAAGTGAATTTCGTCGACGCCACTGATGCGCAGGTCTGGAGCCATACAAGGTGGGGTCTCAAGTGATCAACAAACTGGATATGAAAGTGAGCATCATCAGTCATCTATGCAGACAGAGAAGAATACTTTTACACAAGAGAATGTTGTCAGCCACCTACACTCAGCAAATTCATAGTCTCCATGCTGAACCACATGTTCCATTTAACATAGTCAATTCGATTTTACTGCTTTATGTACATATAAGTAGGGGGCATATATACCTAATGTTTAATTACTGATGTGGGATAGGGCTCTCTCAAGTAAAAATTTGACACCAGTTAGAGGGGATGGTGGTTTTCCCAGTTTGATATAGATTTACCAGGAACTTATATTCTGAAATTTGCAGTTTTGGATATAATGTACAAATATTACGGGTTGACTGGTATTAGTCTACCAGTGCCTACTAACATTGTTTTCGGCAATTCTGCCTCTGGAACTTTGTTCTTGTTGTATACTAGTAAAAAATGGTATTAGCAATATAGATAAATAAGAAATTATGATAGAAATCATTAATCATAATAATTAACTATTAATAAGTTGATAGTTTAATAGCCTTTCACACTTGTGATAATAATAATTAACTATTAATAAGTTGATGAACACGTTAAAATTTAGATAAATTAAATAATTATATATATTATCTTAGAGTTTTGTTAACTTTAACACTTTAAGGTTAAGTTTAAATAGTTATATGTATAATAAAAAAAAAATATTTATTATCATTTTATAACTTTAATATAATATATATGTATATTTTTTATAAAAAATATATATATTTATGGATGTTTAAATTCAGCCAGAAGATTAACAAAACTATTTTATAGATGATATTTATTAATCATAGTTCTTGTTATTTTATATTTATTTCAAATTATTTATTACTTTAAAATATAAAAAAACACTATTGTCTTTATTTATTATTAAAAATAAATCTCACAATTAATCATTATAATAAATTTAATATTATTTCAAGAACTTTAGTATTTTTAATATAAATAAATAAATTATGGTAATTCATAACAAAATAATCATTTTATTTAAATACATGCATTGATACTAAGTGGCATCTAAAACTATTGTTTTTATATAAAAAGTAATAAGTAAGAAATAATAACATACAAGAATAAAAACAATATATTATAAAAACAATAGTATATAAAAGTATTATCATTATTTCACAAAAATAAAACTCCATGTATTGAAAGAAAAAAAAAATAACATATGATCTTTTTATTATTATGATAAAAAATTTATTTTGTTATAAATGAATAAATTAAAATATTTAAAATTGTAATTTAATCTTAGTTTTATTTGAACTTGAGAATATATTATAAATATGTAAATTTGTAAAAGTTAGACAATTTTTTTGTTACGTAGGTGATTGATGTATTCATCATTTTATAAAGTTCAAATAGGTTAATAAAACTCATTATTTTATGGGTAATATTTAGTAATATTTTAAAAATATAATACATTATAATAAGTTGATTGATAAAGTATCAAATAATTTTAAATTATAAAAATTTGTAAACTCAATTTATTGAATATAATTTTTTAATTTAACAATTAAGTTAATAGAATTTGATATTTATAAAAAGTTATTAAAGAGACAAACCTAAATAATACTTACTTTTGAAATAAGTTAATTTCATATTTGTACATTTGTGTGTTTGCGTTTCGGTCCTTAAAATGATTTACCTTGAAAGTGGCGTCAGCCATTTTAACTAAGATAATAATAATAACGAACATAACAGAAATAAACAAGAAAGTTCTCGTTGTTCTGGTTCTTCTTCTACTGTCTCCGTCAACAGTGCGCTCCAATAATTTACAAGAAAACACCTTTTTATCTCTTTTACGTGTTTCGCTCTGTCACGGCATATCATATCATATCGGTAAGATAATAAAACTAATAATTAAGATAATTTCTACGGTAATTTCAATATTAGAAGATATTTTATTCTCTTTTTATGTAAAATATATTTATTGTGTAATAAATCGTGTGTATCAGAGATCTATTTAAAATATATATAAATACTTTTTAATGTTTAAAATTTTTAAATAATTATAATTATTGATTTAAAAAATATAAAATACCATTTTAAGTTTACTGGCATTTTAACAAACACAGTAACTAAATTAAAAAAAAAATAGAGAAATCTGCTATTTTTAAAAAAATATATTTAATTCTGTAATTAATTCTATTATAGGATATACATTAAAAATTATTATAATAATAGTATTGCAGTTTTTAAAGTTTGTGAAACCATATTGTAATCATATTACAATATTTTATTAACTTTTTATAACTAACTTCTATATATATATATATATATATACATATTAAATGAGAGTATTTTTATTTTTTTTGGAAACTAAAGTATCTAATGCACTTAATTTCTTATACAGTGACCACATTTTTAAGATTAAAATTATATAAGAATGATGTATAATTTACACTCTCCTTCTTGCAATGATTTTATTTTTATATTCTTTTTTACTTTTTTTTATTAATTTTATTTTAAATTTTAGAAATAAAATTTAGTGCTTTAATTTATTTTATTACCTTATATAAATTTTCAGATTTTTTTTTATGAATCTCTATGTTTATATTTTAAAAATTTCTCTTGTTATCTTATATAAATTTTAAAATTTTTTGCAAATAACTTAGTTTATATAAATTTTATATTTAATATTATTTTATTATTTCAAAATAAATTATATTTTAAATTATTCTAATTTTATTAATCTTTATCATTTTGATACTACTATCTATAATAATAGAATGAAATTAAATTAATCTTTAACAAAGTTAATATTTTAAATAATTTTATTATATATTATATGTATATTTATTTTAAAATAAAATACACGTGTATTACACAAACTACTAGCTAATATTAATAATGGTAATGCTACCCTTTAAAATAAGTGGGAAAATTTTAAACAAAGAACATATAAAATAAAAAAGTAATATCAATTCTCTCAAATAAAGAGGTATTTTATTTTATTTGAATTCAAGACATAGTTTTTTCATTTAAAATAAAAATTATATTGATTTTGGTTCTATTTGCTTGGTTTGCACTTTCACCCTTGTATATAATAAAAAATTATTATAATACAATACTGATATACTTACTCCATGCTCAAGCCCACTCAATTTCTACTGCATTCTATTGTTACTCTCATGATACACTTTTTCTTTTACTTTAATATAAGAAAGAGAAATCATCATCTCATAGATATCATTGTTATTGTGGCTTAAAGAAATACTCTTAAACATATATGTATATGATTTTTCTTCTAATCTTTTATTTATTTTTTTTACTTTTCAAAAATTCTATTTATTTTCACATTTTATGAACGGAGTTCGAAAATCAATATGTATAACGTGAAATACAAACATGTCATTAGAATCATGGTTTGTAGCAAGCAAAAGTGAAAACAAGTAAAGGAGGGGGGAAAATGTTAATGGGTGAGGTAAGGGTTTTCTTTTTCTTTTTCTTTTTCTGTTTTTGGCTGAACGTGAGGGTAAAGAGGCTACACATCATGAACATGGAAAATTATTAGGTATAATGGACGTCGTGTTGTACTTTTAGTTAGTTAAAAGAAGCACGTCAAGCATTTGAGAGTAAAGCATGCTCCTTCAATGTTCATGCACGTCCCTTTTCACATCCACGTAAGAACGTCTCCGTTTCCAAGATGATCAAAGCCAATAGATATTGGTGATCAAATTTAATTTGACCTTGTAAATTTGAATTTATGAGAATTTTAAGATTGATGACATTAAAAGAAAAGAAAAAAAGAAAAAGCTTATTGACTGTCACATCAGGTTTGATGATTTCACTTATATTTTAAAATTTTAGCACTAAGATTAAGATATGCTATTAAAATGGTTGAGGATGTAATTTTGCGAGAAATGAGACTCAGAATTATTAAACTCATATTATGATAATACTTTATGGTTTGTATCAGTATCTTTAACGCTGTCCATTATAATTAAGTGGGACATACGACAGATATGATACTTTGCTAATTTTTGTTTTAAATTAATACGTATTACTGAAATTGGTTTGTCTTAAAACATTTTAAACTAATTGATGTTAATTTCAAATATAATTGCGACTTACTTTTTAAAATATTAACGATAAGAATGCGTGCAAAAAGGCTTGTAAACTCGAATAAGTATTGATCTCAACAACAATAAGAGAAGAAAAAACACAGTTATTAATCTCACTCACAACTAATGGGGGAATACATTGTTCTGCAATGTTAAAAAGAAAAATAAATATTGATTCACTTAAGTTGTTTTTCAAAGTAACTAATAGCAATTGAATTAATATCAGGTGACAAATTTATATACTTTTAATACTTTTTTATAAAATATAATATCAATAAATTTAACTATTAATTTCAATTTTTTTTAGGTATATCAATTTTATAAAATTTTATATAAAAATAAAATTAATAAATATTTCATCGTATTACTTTATTTTAATGAGTATTATGCTTCTAAAATATTAGTAAATATTAAATTTTGGATAATTTATCTATAAATATCTTAATTATGTGTAATTTGATAAATATTATTTTAAAAATAATATAGAATAATTTAATGGTTAAATTGATCGATCTTACCTTTTATGAAAAATTATTAAGATGAATAATTATCTAAGTTTGACACTTGGTAAAAACGGATTGTAACTCATAAATATAATAAGTTATGCTTCATTATCTTCAAAATGAAAACTAGAGGAGAATAAATTATAATTTTATATTTAATATGTTATGTTGTAGATTTAAGTTTTATCAAATAAATCTAAAAGTTTTATCAAGCAAGATGAAAGATTTATAATGAAACAAAACCAAACGAAAGCAACTATGAGAATTTGATTTGCACTAGCTCCACAAATTAAAGTAACTATGGTAAAAGAAATCTCACCGAAGAAATTGTAGAAATCTTAAGAAAGTAAATTTGCATCAAACACAATAGTTAATCAATTAATGATGAAAATAGATTTGTACTCACTAAAAATGAAAGATGAAGGCAATATTATTAACTATATTAATAAGTTTAGTATCGAGACTAATGTATATTCACAAACTTTTAACAATTAATAGAATAAAGTTACAAATCATTTCATCTAAATTTTATTGTTTTGTAATTTTGTACCTTAGTGCAATTATATATGCTGTAGAAAGTAAATACAAAATAAAATTTTCTATTTATAATATTTTTTTACCTCTTCTTTTTTTTAAGTTGATCGTTGTGGAACTTAGATAAATATCTACTTTAACCTAACAAATTCTCCCTTCGTCTAAACTCTTGCTAGGTAAAAAAAAAAAAACTCATAATTTTGAGGTGATTTGACATATTTTGTCTAAATTTACACCAACCTTGGCACATAATCAAATGACTACATGTTGTTATGATTAATAAAAAAAATATAAATTTTTTTATTCATAGCATTTTTCTACCCCTTCTTCAAGTTGATATTGTGGAACTTGGATGAACAGTTATTTAAGTCTAACATGATGCAGGAAAATAATATCATATTGCATTAATATATAAAGTTATTTTTATTTAATAAGAAATTTTATTATATAATTTATTTATCGGTCATAAGCTATGGATGAAGATTAATTTTAAACTTAAACAGTTGATAATCTCTTACTTTACGAAAAGAAAAGAAAAGTTCCTGTAAGGTAACTCTTATTTTTATTATCTACAAAGAAATGAAAATAAGAGGAGGCGTATCAATCCTCCACCACGATGGAAAGAGGTGGGGTTGACTTGATGCCTTTTGTGTGCTAAAGATGCTTCATTCTAATATTTAGCTGATTAAGACCTGCCACTTGCTACACATGTCAGAAAGAGAGGAATAACGCAACGAAGTTTTCCAAATTAATTTTAAACATTGCAGGTAAAGACGGTTGTAACTAACAATATTCTATTATAACATGCATGCAAGGCCCTTACTCGCCGTTCTTTTTCTTCGTACCTTCCTCTTTTGTTTTTCTCCATCGGGCAGGTTAGTTAGGTACACAGATTTTCTCCAAATTCTATAACACAAACAAAAAATAGACATTTCATAATTCAGCAAAATGATAAAAGAGCCATAAATTTCATATACAGTTGAAATTTTCATTGTGGTTTTGAAAAAACATTGTTTAAACACTTAAAAGTGAACACTTAAAGGTATCTCCGTGTCTCTAGTGCATTTTTGAATGTCTCTTTACAGAAAAGATAAAAATAAAATAAAAATATTTATATATTATATCATATATAGTTTCAAAACAATATAACTGTGAAAGAATGGCAAAAACGCGTTTTGTCAAAGAAAGAATAGCAACAATAAGTATGATAGTATCAACTAGGAAAAAGTAACGTGAAAGTTTGGCAAATTGCATATTAGATAATAGGATATTCTCTGTGTGTTTCTGGTTTTGTTCCTTTCAATATTCCCTTTTTTTTTTTTTTAAATATTTCGCAGTTTTGGTCACTTCTGAGTTTGACCAAGACTGATGAGAAGTAAAGGCACTTAAGCTGGGGCGCGCACTTTTCAATGGGAAATTGCTTGTCCGACGTTGCCGGAGGCAGTGCTGCCGTTGGCGGCACCGCCGGCGATCTTCGGAATCCGGCGGGCGCTCCAAACGATGCCGTCGAGAATTTCCTCAGGTCTCGTGGCTACCACGGCCTCTTCTCTCAGATCGAGGTTCTTTCCTTGGCTTCGCAACGAGTTTCTCAGTGTGTTTATTTTCGCTCTTGCTATTCCTCTTCTCTCGCTTTCGGTGATAGAACTTCTACTTCGTTTGTGACTGGTTTTTGTGGAAGGAGCTTTTCCTACTGTGATGTTGGCCTCTGTTTTTGTTGCAGTTGTCGTTTTCCGCTTCTGGCTTGCGTGATCGTGATGTGCTCTCTAAGGTTCGTTTCTGTCGGTTAAGCATTTCATGAATCTTGTTTCGGTTACGTTTCGTTCGAATTGAGCTACTCTACTATTCCATCGTTTACCGTTTTTGCATTTGTTTCATTTCGCCGATATTATTATACTAGCTCAATGATCGCTTGTTTTGATCTATTCTTTTTTATACACATAGCATCATAATTAGGAAAAATAAATAAATAAATAATCGGGAAATTCCTAAGCACTTCAGCGAGAAATAGTCACGTTTTACTTCTAGAAATCAGGAGCATGTAGCTTTTGGAATCATTAATTCTGAGCTGCAATCTCTATCAGGAAGTTTTTCACGAAGCACAGAAAGTTTTGGGAGTAAAATGAAATAGAAACGAAAATCCACTAATCTAGACGCTTGCAAGCAGAGTCCCTGAAGTAAAAAAAGAAGAAAGCGTAATTCGTTTATTACTTGTCATTTAATATACTAACAAATGAGTTTTTCAAGTAAAATGATATGTCCTGAGTGCACGAACTGAAACATTTAACTTCGAGCTCCTCAAAATCTAATAGCTTAGCTGCCATCGTGTTTTAGACTAGATTCTGCTAGATCCTTACATTGACATAAGACATCAAGACATATTGAAATAGGCCTCATAAACGTAGCTGAACAAATAAATCACATGGACCAATAGGGCCACAGTAAGTGTTCCTTTGGTTATAGGATTGTCAATTTTTATGAATAAATGAAGAATGATTTTGTTAACCTTAGACCTTAAGCTAAGTTTAAACATCCAAAAGTAATAAACTACTGTTAGAAAAGGAAATATTTTACATTGGTTACAAAAGTATAATAAATGCTTTCTTTTCCAATAAAAATTTACTACTTTTTGGATGTTTAAACTCATCCTTAAGAGTTGATGTTAATAAAACCTAAAAGGAGAATATGCTTTTAATAGTTAATATTCTCTCCATTCAATTAAGTGAATCTTGCTTGTCACAGTAAAGTCTGGATAGTTTATATTTAACTTTTCTCTGATGCAGAGTGATCCAATGATGGTTCTTTATAAAAGAGGGCAAAATGGAGCACTTGAGGAACTTTGCCGCACAGAAGTAGTTTTGAATTCATTGAATCCCACGTGGATTACCAAACACACCCTTATTTATCATTTTGAGGTTATTCAAGTTTTAGTGTAAGTTTGAATATTTATACTTCTAACAAGGCAGACGACTGTTTGTTTATTTCACCAGGATTTATTTTGTTAAATTTCTTTCATCACAGGTTTCGTGTGTATGATATTGATACTCAGTTTCACAATGCAGATGTAAAGGTATAGTGTTTATGATGGCCTATATACTTAGTTCTTTCTGGAGTAAGATGTGGTTCCAACACATAACAATGTAGATAACAACCTAGCCCCCCTTAACTTTTTTCTAAATTACTTAGATTTTGCAAAAATCCTTATAAGGTTGTGCAACAAAACATTTCCCAGCTCTTTCCATGACAAAATATTCACTTGCCATGTGGGTTTTCTTGTTCATTAAATGTAATAACATGTTGGTAAAGAATATCAATGTTCGAAAATCTAGATTGAAGCTATTTGGTTGAATTGTGCAGATGCTTAAACTAGAAGAGCAGCAATTTCTTGGTGAAGCGACTTGTGCACTATCTGAGGTAACATAGAGAATTTTAAACTTTTTGTAGGCAGAAATCTGACAACTAAACGGAATTCATTGCACTACAAATGAAGCTGGATCTTTATGATCCAGGACTCCTGACCATCTCATGTGACAATTGTTTTGCCAAATATATGATACTTGAAAATGTGTAACATTTCTGTTTTATAGTTCATTGGTGGCTACCAAGCACATTAAAAGCTTTCTAAACCAAGAAAGAAATGCTTACTCAAATTTAGCTGCCCTTTGCATAACTGCAATTAAATTTGTATCCCAATTATTATACCCATTAATATTAACAAATTGGTTCTGCAGATAATCACAAAACCTGATCAATCATTGACTATAGATATACATACAGAGGATCCTCTTAGATCTACCCTATCCCAAAACTGTGGGAAACTCTTGGTGCATGCTGCGGAATGTGTTAGCTCAAAGACTGCAATAGAGATAGTGTTCAGATGTTCAGATTTGGAGTACAAGGATCTCTTCTCCAAAAGTGTATACAACTATTTTCTTTTTTCCTTTTGGGATTATGAGGAATGGCAGTTCTGCTATAAGACAAGCTTTTGTTTGTCTTGCAGGACCCCTTTTTATTGATATCAAAAATTATAGAAGGTGGCACCCAAGTTCCAATTTGCAAAACAGAAGTTATAAAGAATGATCTCAATCCAATATGGAAATCAGTGTTCTTGAATTTTCAACAAGTAGGAAGCAAGGTATATATATAACTGAAATACAGTTATGTTATGTGGTGAGGCAATTTATCTAATAAAGTTGGACTTCTCCATCATACTTTTATATAGACATTTCTAGTTTTCATTGCCTGTTGAGTTATCATCTCTTTTTTTGTTAGAATTGGTACAGCAAAGAAAGATTGAATTGTATTACTAAGAATGAACACAGTTCTATACCCAATGTAAGTATTGACTATTATCATACAATGCCAGAAATATTTGAGAGATCTTGGCAACTCTCCTACACAAACTTTTTCACTTACAAAAAGACTATTATCATACAATGCCAGAAATATTTGAGAGATCCTGGCAACTCTCCTACACAAATTTTTTTACTTACAAAAAGACACCTCAATTCTTTTAACTCTGACCTTTATAACAACCATCCCATGTAAGTGCCTCCTAATTATGAGCTAGTTGATTGTTTCTCTAGGTTGGGCCTTAACATTAAATGGCCCACTCTTCCTTTTTCTTACAATATACTCTTTTCATTATGGGACTAATGCTTAACCCCCCCAAAAGCTTTCATCTTGTCCTTAAGGTGAAAATGTGAAAATTATTGAGACTGCATAAGAATATGTTACACTCAAGAATCTTCACATTTGGCGCTAACTTTTTATTGCATTTTCTAGCCAAGGACTTCAACCTATAAGGGTGTATCTTTAAGTATACCCAATCTCCCACCTGGAATTCCACTTCTCTCCTTTTCTTATTTTCCTGTGATTTCATCTGTTGCAGTGCTGTCTCCAAGTTCTACTTTAACTGTTGCAGCATGTCATCCCTATCTTGTGTAAGTTGATTGACCTCTTCTATTTTAGAGGGTAAAGTGTCACCTCTAAAAAGAAGAGGTGAATCTCTACCATATAGTCATAGTGCCTAAAAAGGTGTCATCTTTGTTGGGCTGTTATAATTGGTGCCATACCAATATTCTACCCTAGCCAACCAAAAAGACCATTGTTTGGGATTGGTGCCTGAAAACAGCGCAGGTATGCTTCCAAACATCAGTCTATAACTTATGTTTGGTCATCTGTCTACGGATGGTAGGTAGTGCTATACTTCAACTTTGTCCCAGCTTGTTTGAATAACTCAACCCATCATCTTGTACACCATTTTCTTTAGTGCTGCAATGGATTGTTGCGTCAAATTCATCTTCTCCATAGTTTCTTGTTGCATTTCATCAAATCATGTCTCTAACTGCTTGCTTGAAACCATCTTCTCGCTTCACCCAATTGCACAGCAAGAATTTTCTAACCAAGAACTTGTTTTCTTTCAAGAATCTTGTGCATCTTAACTCCTTGGGCGACTTCAGATCACAAACACTCCAACTCAAAATCAAACATCAAACGTTGAAATCAAGAATCAAAATCTTGCCTCACCCATAGCTCCGGATTGGAACTCTGATGCCAGTGGTAGAGCTGGTACGGCAAGGAAAGAGAAAGAAAGATTGAATTGTATTACTAAGAACAAACACACTATTGTACCCAATGTAAGTATAGATTGTTATCATACAATGCCAAAAATATTCGAGAGATCCTAACAACTCTCTTCGACAAACTTCTTCACTTCCAAAAAGACACCTCAATTCTCCTAATTCCGACCTTTATAACAACCATCCTGTTAGAGACCAAATAAAAAATGTGAAAAGTATTACTAACAAGAAGAAAATACTGCAGAAATCTTTTCTGCAATACCTAGAGAAAAGCTACTACAAAGGTTTGCACCCTTACCCACTACTAATAGAAGAAAAACATATTTGACCCCTTTTCTCTCTTCCCTCCTACTATATGAAACATTACACGTCAACTTGCTATCCATAACTAATTTTTCTCTCTAATTCTCATTCTGCCCCTTCTTATTTCTCTTACTATATGTTTTCCAAATCCAAGGCCCATGACAAAGTTGGACTTGACTTATCCATTTAGGTTCTTGGGACCTAACACATCCAATGTAACTGCCTCCTAATTATGAGCTAACTGATTGTTTCTCTAGGTTGGGTCTTAACATTAACTGGTTCACTCTTCCTTTTCCTATAATATACTTTTTTCATTATGGGCTTATTGCTATCATTTTGTTTCCAAGATTTCTTCAAATGGAAGAAGGTACAGGGTCAAGTTGCTTTGTTTCAAAATGTGCATTATGTTTATTAAAACAAGAGTATATAATTTAGAAGTATTCTTCTTTCATAATTTCTTCATTTCATATTGGTGCTTGTTATCACTATTATAGGATATAGAGTGCTGGTTAACACTGACTTTGTACATTTTGGCTTGATGTTCTACATATAGTTTAATTGAAGCTATCTTATTTTCACTTTTATCATATACAGGACAGCCCTTTGATAATTGAGTGCTATAACTTTAATAACAATGGCAAACATGATTTGATGGGGTAACTGGCAGTTCCTTTTTCATGTGTCTATCATCCATGTTTCCATTATGTCTATGTCTAGGCTGAAATACATATTAGGGTTTTTCATTCTTGATTTATCAGAAAAATGCAGAGATCTTTGGCAGAGTTGGAGAAGATTTGTAATAATGGCCAAGGAGAAAAATTATTTTTGCCTTCTACTGGTGGACAGAACCACGATAACAAGGTCTTATTATGTTTTATTAAATTGATGTCCATCATGAATTTCTCTGTCTTTGTCTCATAGCATATGTGACTATTATTTAGGTGTTAAAGAGCCAACTATTTGTGGATAAATTTACTGAAAGTGTCCAATACACTTTCTTGGATTACTTGGCTGCCGGATTTGAATTGAATTTCATGGTGGCTGTTGACTTTACAGGTATAGAACAAAATCTTCAAACTTGTACTTGTGTGTATAAATATAATGATTAGTTAGAGAATGAGACAATAATATTATGATTATTGTATTTGTAACTTAGGACTTTGTGGTTGTTAAGATGTCTCACATTGATTAGGAATAGAGTCAGAATACTCCTTATAAGGGCTAGGGTAGTCCTCCTCTTACGAGCTAACTTTTGAAAGTGGGTTAAGCCCAAGTTTCTTAACATGTTATCTGAGCTTATTCAGTTTGAATATTGGACTGTCCACAAATGTCCAGTTCTGCAAATTTCACGCACCGAATGTCTAGTCCTAGGCGTGAGGGAGGTGTGTTAAGATGTCTCACATTGGTTAGGAATATAGCCAGAATACTCTTTATAAGTGCAAATTTCACGCACTGGATCTCTAATCCTGAGCGTAAGGGGTGTGTGTTAAGATGTTTCACATTAGTCAAAAATAGAGCCAGAATACTTCTTATAAGGGCAGCTGGGAAGATTACCAAACCTATATAGTAGCTAATTAGTTATGCTTGTTATTTCTGATAACTTACATGAAATTTAATTTTCTGTCAGAAATACTTTGCTAACACATTAATTTTGTTCTTTGACCTTTTATGTTCTATCTAGTTATTGTAGAAATTAAGAAATTTTGTTAGTTTTTTTTAATAACAATAGTACTTGCAGCGTGGGATTAGTTTAGCAAAACATAATTTTGACACTGAAGTTTACAATAATGGTAGAAGTTCAATATGAAGTCACTATTGCTGAGCTAATATACCCTTTGGTTTAGTGCAAACGATCACCAGTATCACTTGATAGTTAAACACTCATCCTCCTGACTCAATGCTTAGGTTTCAGTTTTCACTAGTGTGCTTGTTTGGCGGAGGAGTCTGGATGTGTCCAGTTTACCTTGAGGAACCATTTGTGGGTTCCCCAAAATGCTAACCCTCTGAGGCCCTTCTTGTCAGGCTCAACAGCTGGTATGAGGTTGCCCTTCCCCCTCCTTGTCCTCTCTATTTCCCTCCTCCCCACTCCTACCCCTGCCACCGTTTTCAATAGGAGGATAAAAGATAAGCTTAATATAAACTCATGAATTCATGTTACACTTTCATCTAATGACTTAACATGCTGCTGGTTAATGTATGCATGGATGACGGGGAAGAAATACGTTCTTATTAACCCCTTCTCTTGTTTACCAGCTTCAAATGGAAATCCACGTCTTCCAGATTCTTTGCATTATATTGATCCTTCAGGACGGCCAAATGCATACCAGAGGGTGAGAACTGATTCTTGGTTTAAATTCACAACTTTATTTGTTGTTGATCGATTGTTGATGTGATATAAATGCTTTTTCTAGGCAATTATTGAGGTTGGGGAAGTGTTACAGTTTTATGATTCAGACAAACGATTTCCTACTTGGGGATTTGGGGCACGGCCAATTGATGGTCCTGTTTCCCATTGTTTCAACTTGAATGGAAGTAGTCATTACTGTGAGGTAAAACAGCTATGTCCGATCTTGCTTGTATTTCATATTCAAACAGTTCATTAATAGTTAGAGGTTTCTATCTGTTCTAGGTGGAAGGGATCCAAGGAATTATGATGGCATATACAAGTGCCCTGCTTAACGTCTCTCTTGCAGGACCAACTCTTTTTGGACCTGTCATAAGCACTGGAGCACTGATTGCCAGTCAATCTGTAGCAAATGGTGGAAGAAAGTACTTTGTTTTGTTAATAATCACAGTAAGAATTAATATACTTAGCAGTGTTCAATATCATTTAAATCTGAAAATGAACTGTAATTTTGCCTCATTGAACACCATTTGTAATTTCATTGTAACTTAATGGTTGTTTGTTGTTTGTCATATGTTTCTCTCTAGTATGCCTTTATGCATCCATATAAATATGCATAGTAAGCATGGAATTCTATATTTGTCTTACATGTGACAAAAAAAATATTGTGCCCTTCCTGACTTCTGAGAATATTTTAGATTTTTCTATTGCCATGTTTTCCCACTTCTGCTGAGTTTTAATTGGTATGCTCCAAGGATGGAGTAGTGACAGATCTCCAAGAAACAAAAGATGCTATTGTTAAAGCATCTGACCTACCATTATCAATCCTTATTGTTGGAGTAGGAGGAGCTGATTTCAAAGAAATGGAGGTATTAAATCCAAATTGTCTGCTTTTTACAGAGTTAATTGTTTTGCATCTTGAGACACTTAGCAGTGTGACTGTTATACTGCAAAATGGCTTAATGTAGTTTTGTCGCAAATTTCTTGTTGCTTAGGTTTTGGATGCAGACAAGGGAGAGAGGCTTGAAAGTTCATATGGACGCGTTGCTTCACGTGATATAATTCAATTTGTTCCATTTCGGGAGGTTCAAAGTAAGTATTCAGTTTAAACTATTAGGTTTGAGCTAGTGGCAAGGGAGTTTCAGGAATTTGTATTAGGTCATAAATTTAAACTTATTTCTATCATTGTATTGAAAAGAAAAAATGTACACTGCTTTAAAAATGAAGTTTGGTGAATTACTCCGAACATATCAAACACTGGCAAACTTCTTTCTATCGCAGGTGGAGAGTTTTCAGTTGTTCAAGCACTTCTAGCAGAATTACCAACTCAATTTTTAACTTACGTGCGGAGTAGAAATATCCAACCGAGCCTCTAGTCATGCGAAAAATGTACATAGAAAGGTTTTCTGATCATTGATCATTCTGCAATGTCGAGGTCCTTTTCAGTTCTTCAATCAACAAATTCGGCTAAAGGGGGCCAAAGGGCTGAGAACTCTTGCTTTGTGCGGATTAACGCCTCAACGAAGATTCGCCGGCTAGCTGTCTTATCTAAAAGATATATATGATCGAGCCTTATGGTTGGCATTTCCTTTTCTTTTTGCGCTTGTGTCCTTTTGGCTTTTCCTAGGTGATTGGTTTGCCTGAAAAGACTAGTACTACAAGTTGAATCAATGTTTTTTTTAATGGAAATCCAATAATTTGTGTATGTCTTTCGATGGCATTTGACAAATATATGCAGAATATTCAGAAAGAAATGTAGCACTGTTGAAGTTTTTTTTTTTATTCATTATACCAATTTTTGGTTGGCTGTAAATGTTCATTTAAAAGGAAAATGTAACTTATAACACGGAATTTGAAATTCTGGAACACAGGACATAATCTGCTATAATGAAAATTAAGTAGCAGATCTACTCCGGGATTTCCCCTCTTTTATGTGAATCACTTTATTTGATAGATTGTGATAAAAGCATATAGAATCCGACATATAAGCAAGTAGGAAGACACTAAAGAAACCCAAAATATATAAAGAAAAGCGACCAAGAAAAGACATTAAAGAGAAGCGGGAAGACATAACATCAGCACCACAGGTTGGGACATCTTAGCAATAAACTAGTAGCTTATTGAGTTTAACACAGTAAGACTCTCTCACTTTTTCTTTGTTCGTTTAGCCTTGGGCCTAATTTAGATTCTTTATTTAAATATTAAGATGCATAAAACTTGCTAGTGAGTTGCATAATCTACCCAATTGTTAAGCATTTCAATGTTCCGATAACAATTCATATCCTTATTTTCTCTCAATCCGAAAGAATCGCTTTGGTTTCGTGGATATTTTCTTGGACTGGGACATGGTTGTGTTGTTTTCACTAGTCCCAATTAATCCGAAGAACTGTGGGTTCTCACAAAGAAAATGAAACGAGCGAAGGAGTATAAAACACAAATTTGGAGTTGATTAAGTTGTTTACAGCAAATTGAAAAAAAAAAAAAAAGTGTCAGCAGCTCACTGTTAAAAAAAATCCATGTGATTGTAAGTGTTATATCATCTTAACATGACACATTAATAATATTTAAAAAATTTAAACCGCATTAGTTGAAACTTTGTAAATTATAAGAACTTGATTACAAATTTAATATTTTATAAAGACTAACAGATTAATTTAACTTTATTTTTATTACAAACTTATATTTGTAATAAAATTTTTAAAATATAAATTACTTACTTTAAATTTAATTTTACTAACATCAACTTTACAAAATCAATTTTAAATAAAAAAACTAATTTGAGACACCCAAAAACGCATACTTAATTCTTCAAATAAAAAATAATTTAGTAACCTGAATTTAGATCAACTTTTCTGTCAGCACGGTGATACAAATTTCGCTATTCGGGGTTCATATATCGACGTTGATAATTTGGCCCGAGTAAAAACCGAGTGGATTATCCAAGCTTTAACTGGGAACCAACAAATCTATGCTATGCCACGGATGTCACTAATCAGAGGTACGTGGTCATTTGCATTTTTCTTGATACCTTTAGGTTACTATTTAGAATCTGTTTGCATGAAAAATAGTTTATAATTTTTTAGTTTATTTAAAATATGATTAATTTTGTAATTTTAAAAAAGTACAATTGGATTAAAAAAAATTAGAGTGAAAGCTTTAGGGGTATAAATAATTTAGGATAAATTTTATAAAGCGTAAAACTGATTTATTTTTTAAACATGGGTTTGGATGAGTTAAGTATATACCTGAATACCCTTTTTATTTTCCGTCTAATTTGATTTTTAAACAAATTTAATTTACCTTAAATGTAAATTAAAAGGCTTAAACATCTGTAGTGCGACCTTGAAAGTATGTTAAGATTTTTTAAAATAAACTAATAGACCTAAATTTATATAAAAGTTGACTTAAGCTTTTAAATATATCAATAAGTCTATAATTTCAAATATTATTATTATTATTATTATTACTATTATTATTATTATTATTATTATTATTATTATTATTATTTTTATTATTATGTGAATAGTATAAGTAGTTGAACTTAACAGACTTGAACTCTTGAGAGGGTTTTAATGGATTTTTAATTAACTAAATATTTTAAATAATTTTGACTTAATTAATTTAATAATTAAGTTTAACTTTACTCAAATGCAATCCAAGATAGGTCAAGATCGTTAATTGATCTATTTTAAAAAATGTTATAAAATTTAAATTGAGTATTTATAAATAAAAAAATTATGAAAAATCTATATTGATTATATTAAAATTATAAAAATATAATAAATACTTATTTTAATATATTATTATTATTATTATTAGTTCCTTATAACTTTTTAATATTAAAAAAAAGGTACGTTTAACTTTAACATAAAAGAGGGGATAGAAAATAATTTGTTTCGGTTATGTGAAGAAATAATAGAGGAGCTGAGAAGGCAAAAAAAATATAAAGACCTATCAAGTAAGTGGATCTATTTGTAAAGAATTCTTGCAGTTAATTTGTGATTTCAAGTTCGAATATCAACTAAATATAGTTAAATACATACAGTTGACTAACGATTATCACCTTAATTAATGCATCAATTATCACTAAACAAATTTACGAGAGTATCTTCATATCTAAAGCTTTTGTAAGTTATTTTAAAATTATTTTATTAATTTTTATATAAATTTTATAATAACAGATCAATTTTATTTTATTTTTTTCTATTAACATATCAATTTTTTCTAAATTTAAACGACTGTATCCATTATAATTTTTTCTTCATATCAAATAATATTTAATGTACAATGCTTAATTAACAAAAGCTATTTATTTTTAAACAATATTAAGCACTTTCATTAAAGATATTTTGAAAAAGCCATCTATGCCTGCCCCACACATGAATATAGGTGTGTGTGGACCTTCGGACTTAGCTTCCAAATCCCCTTATGAAAATGACAGAAGGCTGGTAAAATTTTCAGTGTAATACTTTTTTGGCTAAATTTAAGTATAATATTATAAATAATTTAATATTATTTTTTTAAATAAATTTATAATTTTATTTTAGTAATTTATAATAACATTAAATATAAAATTATCAAAATAAATTTTAATTTTAATTAATAAATAATATAAATAATACCTAAACAATAACCAATACAATTAAGTACATGAATTAATAAACAATCAATGTGATATGAACTTTGAATCTTACAAAATTGTCTCCAATAAAAAAAAATCTAAGGTTTAAATTTATCTTAATATACATTAATTTTTATCTTATTTTCTTCTTTATAAATAGGATTGACATGTATAGTCATAGCATTAACAACATAGTATTGCCTACTTTTGAAATACTCTTTAACATTTTAATTAAATCACACTTAATAAAAAATTATTAGAAATATTTGATAATTTAATTTTTTAAAAATAATAATATTTTAAGATACTTTTTAATTAAATTTAAATTGTATTATTATATTAATTATTATGCATAATGATAGAATTAATATATGAAAAACTAATAAATACTCCTACAACTTTATAAAGGACTAAAGACAAATAAAAATCTTTAAAAAATCTTATAAAAAAATAGAGAGAGTAAATATTTTTATAATATTTTAAAATTTTTAATTTATCATTTTAATGTAAAATCATTATTTCTATTCTTTAAAAAATATTTGTCATAAATTTTCAAACTTATTTTTCATTCAAAAATATATTTTTCTTAAGTACAAATTTAAGCAAAGGTTTGAAGTTAAAGTAGAATATAGTTATAGCTAGAATATAAGTATTATACATATTTAAAGGATACAACATAAAAATCAAAATATATAAAATTATTGTTAGTTGTAATATCTATAATGAATACTCAATTTAACTCAAACGTAGGAAAGAAATATATAGTAATATAACAAAATGCATATAGCACTAAAAATTGATTTTGATTTATAAGTTGCATGTGTCTTATTGAGAGATCCGACTCCAATGTTTTGTAATATATTTTTTATAGGTACCTATTATATTCAAATCCTATTAATTAGCAAATATTAGTATTTAGAATAATATACTTTTTGTAATGTTTTATTATACATTTTTTTCTCAACCAAAAAACTTATGAGGTATGCTAACAAGTAGCCACTGAATCTTTAGAGTACTCTTTGTTATTTTGGTTGAAATATATTAAAATTAACTTGTGAAATCAGACGAAAGATATATTATATAGAGAATGTTAGTGATAAGTTTACGTGAGTTTTAATAAATTTTAATTAATAAGGAAATTAAAAATTTATTGTTACTATTTTTCAAATCTTATTGTGGAATGATTAAGTTTATACACACATATATATATAACAACATTACATAAAATACTTTTATATAAAAATTATCAAAACAAAACTTGTGGGTCATTTTCATATTCTTTGAACGATTTAAATCATGAAAGGATTATGTAGTTCTTGCCTTAAAAGAATCCATCGTGTGTGTGAGAATTATTAAGAGTGTAAATAGTAAAATAAAGAACATATTAAAGAAAAAGTGTGTGAGAATCAGCTTCAAAAGGGAAGAAAAGAAACAAAAATGACTTTAATGTGAGATGTGTGATTCACTTTAACTCGTAGGCTTTGCGTGCAATGCAAGGTTGAAAACCGTGCTATTAATCGGATCTGTCTCACATTAAAAGGCTCCATGTAGTCCCTTCAAGATAAAGTTGACAAAACATTTTTAGTTACTGCTTACCCTCTTCAGAATACCATTTTATATAATTTTTAAATTTCCTTAGAAAATTAAAAACTATAATACAACAATATGTTACAATCACGAGTCATATAAAAGTTAAAAATAATTATACCATCGTAAATAAATCAAAATATAAATAATAACATTTTACTATATTAATATTTAAATTAACAAACTGTAGCTTTTAAATAAATATTTTTTGAAATAAATAAATATTTTAAATGTATACGCGTTGGTATTAATATAAACTAAAGAAATTAGATATTAATGCACGTATGACATAATTAAATTATAAGTAAGACTACATATATCGCTTTTATAACGCACATATGTGCATATAGATGCTCAAATTATACGACCTTCTTTTTATTTTAAAAATTTATACTCTTCTTTTTAGAATGATTAATATGTGCTCTATTTTCATATAAATGAACATTTTAAAGACACTTTTCATTTTCTCTTTATGATTCTTAATATAATTATTAGTTAATATTGAATCTTTACCATAAAATTTAAAATTTTTTACTTTAAAGATGAAATGAGGATTTTTTTTCTGAAGTTTTAAAAACTAATATTAGGGATGTTTAAACCTTTACTTTTTCTTATATATCCTAATATCAAAAATCAATAATGTGCTTAAAATTAATCGGTGATAACAATGAAAATTAGAGAGAAAAACACGTAGAGAAAAGAAATGTTTCAAATACACTCATTTATATGCAGAGAGGTTCATTTACATTAAAATGAATTAAGTATACTATATATTTTTTCAGAAATTAATTATTATGAATTATAAATTTTAAAAATAAATAATAAATCATTGAATACATAGATCAACCAACAGATAAGTATTCTAGCTTAACTTATGATATGAAGTTCAAGTCACAATAAATATAGTTATCTTAAATAATGAAGGTTTTTAAATTTACAAACAATAATCTTACTCAAATAAAACATATTTCTATCGTAATAAACTAACTCTTGCAACATATATATATATTTTTTCTACATTTAATTATTCAACTTCCAAAACCCAACGTAACAAAAGCATGCAACTTAATATTGCTATAATTTCTCCGGCATGAAATACTTTCAACTCAAGATCAATAGTAAATAAAATAAAATAAAATGAATGGGTTTAATTTGATCCTTGATAATCATGTATAGCTCTTATTGCCCTTTCCATAGTACACCCCTCATGCATTCTCTGTCAATCCTTCAAATACTTCTATCTTCCTCTCTACTCCGTTCACCTACTCCTTTTTTCATGTTTGAACAATTAATAAGGTCTCTAATGTTGTCTTTTGTACTCTCTTACCTTAATTTCAATGTTCGGAACTTTGATGAGATTCAAATCACAGGAGAAAGTAAGGGGAAAACAGGTGTGGACAGAATTGAGAAAGTTGCACAACAAGACCCAAAGGAATGGGAAACAACGAACCAGTCCTTGGTAAACAAAAATAAATTAAAGGATTAATTAGTAATTCAACTAGATATATATTTTTTTTTCATTTTCATGAAAATTTTTTATTCCCCTCATAATAGTTGGGAAAAAAAAAATTTTAATCACAAATTTTTTTAATGCCTTTTATACATGAAATTTTTTTTAAAAAAATAATATATATATATATATATAGAGAGAGAGAGAGAGAGAGATACACAACAAACATATATACAACTTGTATTAACTTATTATATAATTTGGTTGTATTAGTATAGTATTTCTATTTTGTTTTTTGTTTTTATGTCTCTTATAGTATTAAATGAGGGAAAACATGCACTCATCTAACTTCATTTATTTTAAATTATTTATAATTAAAAAAAGTATTCTTGGATTACATTAATGAATATAGTATGTGATTTAAGACAAAGAATTACAGTTATTAATTATAATATTAAAATTTTTGTTATATTAGAGATAAAGATAGAATATTTTTTCTAGCATACCATCTAGAAATTAATCCTACTAAAATAATGATAGGGATGCACTATTTGACATGCATGCTTTTTTCTTAAAACAATGTTTCCAAGATAATATTTGGGATATATACAGAGAAATATATAGAAAGAAAAGAGAAAAAAAAGTAATAATATAAATAATAGATGATGAAATTTGATAAGAAAAAAGACAAAACAAAAGTGGCTAATTATATTATGAACATATTTATAAATCAGAATTATTTTTAATGAAAAATTTAGTATTGAATCAAATTTATATAAGTCTAACTCGAATAGGGTTCATGTAAATTTCAATAAATAAAAGATTATTAAAAAAATATGTGATAAAGAAATTTTCTTCCTTAAAAGGGAAAAGAATAAAACATAGGCTTTGGACTTTTGGTGTGTTCTGTTTCAGTCTGCTTTCTGTTCTTCCGTTCACACTTGCACACACGGCAGAAAGACATATAAAAGCAAACGAAGCAAAACCCTAGTTCTTCCCCTCCCTCTCATCCTCCTAGATCCATTCTTTCTCTTTCCTTACGTTTGGTTGATCCATACACATAGCATCATCCACTGTTTGATTTAGTCCCTACGACAGTGTTGCACTTGTACAAATTCTCGAAGAGCCAATTTGACACCTTGCGAATTATTAAATCTCTTCCTATATGCATAAATTTTATATCTCTCACACCCAATATACATCAATCAGTTGCTAAAGTGGATCAAAGGCATGGAGAGAAGATCACATTCTTCGGAAGAAGGGCAAAAAGAAGAAGACTATAATTTGTTCCCAATCTATTCCGAAAGGTCCCAACAAGACATGTCAGCTATGGTCTCAGCCCTTACACAAGTCATTGGCGGCACCAACAATGACCCACTTGATCAGATGCATGAAGATGCTGTATTAACTTCCACCCACTCTAGCTCTACCCAAAATACTGAACACTCCCAACAACCACCGCAAGATCAAGGTAAGTGCTTCCGGCACACAGTTATACGAATAGTTGTCATCATAAAAGTGTAAAAACATTAAATTTGGATGATAAAAGTTAAGAGTTTGTTGGTATTTATATAAACACTTAAAAAAATCATGTGCTTTTTCCTTATAATTTGTTTATATAAATTTGGATATTTGTTTTCTCCGATAGTTCAATTCCTTTTGTTCGTATCATGAAACTGTTTCCTTGGGTCAAAGTGTTCACAAACACTAAACCTAATAAAGTTTGATATTTGATGTTCTAGTACCTCGCATGGCTAGTAAAAACTTTATTTTAAAGGTGTTAGTTTAATTTCTCTTTCAGAAGTCAGAACCATTATCTTTTTTCTTCCCCTGAAAGCCTAACTGATGAGGCATGGTGCAGTTTCATGAACAACCCTTAAATTATTGCTTTTATAAATTATTATATCATTGTTTTTAACATACCAGGGCGATTCTTAGCGCGACTCTAAGGTTGATATATATTTTCTCATATCTGCCTACTAAAGAAGATAACACACAGGTTAAAAAATATAATTAATATTTTTGTTTATATTAAAAGTATTGTTAATTTCTGATACGATCTGTATTAATATTGTTTTAATTCGTTTATGAAAAATTTGTTAAATATTCCAGAATTAAGTAAAAATAAGAACATGATTTTTTTTATTAATATTATCTTAAATTTCTAAATATCCAAATAAATAAAAATAAATTTTCTTTCAAAAGTGAACAATAAAAGGAAATGGCGAGAATACATTATAATCTTGAAAACCGCCTCCAAAGCTTTGGGTACTGCGTTCTCATTTTTATTTTATTTTTTGTAATTGACATTGATTCTCATTTCTATAATACTAGGAGATAATACTAGTGCTTTAACATCCTAGTATTAAAGAGAACGTTTTTCATAAACTCGTCAGGTGTCACCTAGTGAGATACGAAGAGAATAAAGAGCAGTGAAAGATGTGATTGGGGATATAACTCAATAAAACGAGAGAAAAAAAAAAGACATGAAATGGAGGTAGAGAGATAGTGTAGAAATATACGAATATTATGCTTATTAATTGATAAGGATACGATAAGGTGTGTGTGTAAGTGTGTATAATGTATTGATTTACGTGTTTATCCGAAGGGAGTGTAAGAAGAAGACACTATAGAGGAGTGAGACAGCGACCATGGGGGAAGTGGGCGGCAGAGATTCGCGATCCAAAGAAAGCAGCGAGAGTTTGGCTTGGAACTTTTGAAACTGCTGAAGCTGCGGCTCTTGCTTATGATGAAGCTGCACTTAGATTCAAAGGAAGCAAAGCAAAGCTCAATTTTCCTGAAAGAGTTCAAGGCACAGGCGAATTTGGTAATTACCTCACAAATCAACAACATATGCTTTCAAACAGTGGTAAAAATGAACAACCATTATCTAACCCAGTTGCTACACACTTTACTCAAGAAACGTATCAAAGTAATCCCTTTCAATATGCACAACTCATGGGTAGTGCAAGTGGTGGCAACTTCAATCAAGATATGCTTAGTTTTTATGGGAGAGACATGTTTGTTTCTTCTCAGCCACCAGCATCTTCGTCTTCTTCTGGATTATCGCAGCAGCAACAACAAGAGCAGTTTTTGAGATTTTCAATGCAATTCGGAGGCTCTTCTTCTGGTTCTGAGCCTCCTAGGAATTGGAGGGATGGTAGACAATGAAGAGGATACCATATATTTGTTTTTCGTATGTCATGGCATTGCATGCTGTTATAATATTTTCATGATAATATCGCTTTTTAAGTTGTTTGAATTTACTGTGTGTGTTAATGAAATGTTTGTTTAATTTGAAAAGGCATGGTATTGGTATACCTTTGTCTCAATTAAAAGGAAAGAGCAAGAAATCTGAGAAGGCATAGTATATTAAATTATTCATGTACTTTCACTAGTTAAGCTTTTTTTTTTAAAAATGTTTCAGAAGTTTAAATACAAAACGAAAATGATGCATGAAATCATGCTTATATTAAATTTATAATATAATGTTGGTTCTATGGAGGTACGAATCACCCAAAGTACGTCAGGAGAATAAGATAGAACACTTTTTGCGAGTAGTGCAAGAAAACATTAGTGTGAAAATGCATTTTCGAATAAGATAAAAGGAAAGAGCCGAAAAATGGAGCTGAAAGAATAATTAATTGCCATGAAATTAAGAAAGGTATTGAAAATTACATATACAGCAGCGATGGAGATGGGGTTGTGTCCAAAAGAATCAAAATATTACGTTTATGTGAAAATCACGTCCAGAGCGCAGCAATCAGGTCTGAACACGAACGTAAATTTCAAAACCTGTGATGGGTCGAAATAATCGCTAAAAGCGCGTCGAGGTGTCGGCTTCAACATTGATTATTACTCGTTACTACACTGGAGCAACATCTACAATAAATAAATAAAAATGTTCATTATTTGATTAAAAAAAGAAAAAAGAATTTGAATCCTCTAAAATAATAACTAAATTTTAAGAGTAAATTAAACTCATTTTCAATAAACTCTTTTATATATAAAAAAAACTAATTTATATAATTGACACGTGTGTGTGAAATGGGGTAGCTTATTGGGTAGTTGCAATGCGGAAAGAGAAAGCGAGAAGCGCCACCGCCCCTTGGCTTGGTTCGGCACGTGTATCACAAAGGGAACCGTCCACACCACTTTCGTAATCGGAACTATAATTGTTCCCATAGTGCTCGCCCCACGTTCTCTTCAACCAAAAGGTTATAAGCTTTATCACTGCCATCATTGTTCACTGTTGCAAAATTAAAATGCTCAAAAAAGAAGGTTAGCACACTAAGGACGCAACTCCAAAGAGAAGATTGACAATAACAGGATCAGATCATCCAGTAGTTGAAATAGGAAGATGGTCAAATTCAACCTCTCAAAGGAGCGTTTGGGTCGTTTAATTCGGCATCCATTACCACAAAGTCCAGCTTTAACATACTTCTCACCCTGCGACGTAGACTTCGATGCCCATTTTTTGATTTTTAATTTCTCAAATCTCTCTCTACTCTGACTTTAAGTTCATCCTCTTCAACTTCACTTACTCTCTTTAGATATTCTCTTCTTTTTTCTAATCTCATTCTCCATAATTTGTATACATTATATTATTAAAAAAGTTTAATTCATACTTATCTATTTAATTTACTCCCTAATCCTTTTTACAAGACAATGTTTTTCATAATCTTATTCATAAGACAACTAATAATGTTCTAGAAGTATTTTACAATTTTTTATATTTGTCCCTGATCACCGTTGAATAATTATAGTATAATTTAAATAAGGGTTTAGGAACTTTAAAGTGAAACGACTAACATGGAAGTGGAGTTTGACTTTAAATAATCATATTTTTTTTTAAAAATATATTGTAATTTCTTAAAACTTAATCATCAACTAATTTTAACGTGCTTTTTTTTGTAATACGAGTGATTTTGTAAGAATTATCTTTGAAATAGGATACCTCTTTTAACAGGAGCATTAATCGGTCTAAAAAGTTACTTTGTTAATAATAAATTTTTTATAAATTATTTTTAAAAATGTAGAGACTAACTTTTTTAGAGGAAAAGAAGTGCTTCTTAATAAAATATTTATACAAGAGTGTAATAATTTAAAATGTTCACCAAAGTTCAAAATTTTCATCATAATCATAAAAATATTTCCTAAAATCTTTTAAAGATACCAAATACATTTATAACATTACCAAAAATTATAATTTCCAAAAAGTATGATTACCTTTAGAAAACATGATTCTTAATATTGAAAAGCAAAATTTACATATCAAACGTCCCACAAAAGATTAAAAAAAAAACATGAGATGAGAGGAAGGAAGTAACAAATAATTATATTAATATAGAAATTAAATTAATACTATTTTAAGTAGAAATAAAAAATGCTTAACAATTTTTTAAATCTTTTTTAGGGTGTCAAGCTAGCGCTCAAATCTTAATTAATTCCTTACATCTTTTTGTCTCGTTGAAACATAAATAAAATTATACTTTGTAATTAACATTATTTTTTAATTATAAACATCTTTATTGTAAATAATTATAAAATTATTTTCAAAAAAATAAAAGTTAGCTATAATTTTTTTTAGTAACAACGAGGCAAAAACTCAAATAAAACAAAGACTACTTAAACAACTTGGAAAAACAAATTCCCGACAATCCGCACAATGATTAGTTAGCTGTATTTTTAAATTAATATAATTTTCTTTAACAATATTAATAAAATTATTCTTAATATATAAAATAAATGGTATTTTTAAACTATGGGAAATATTTACTTCAATGATTATAAAATTATTCTCAAAATATATAATAGTCTATACACAACAAATTTGTAAAATACAATTAATAGGAAATAGATATTCATGAAGTGGAACTAATGAGAAAAATGTAGTATTTTTTGCTATATACAGCAGTTAGAAAACATTGTCAAAAATACTTTTTATTTTCAACTAGATTTCTGTAATGAGTAAAATATCTTTCTTATTTATTTATTTATCATAATTTACAAATAAAATCATTTCTTAAATTATTTAAAAATAATTTTGTATCTGTTAATCTATTATTATTACTAGTTTAGTAACCTATACAATGCATTAATATTTTATTTTATAATAAATATAAATATAATTTAAAATTTAAATAACAAAATTTTATATTCATAAATTATTATATATATATAGTAAAATTATTTTAAACAATAAATTTTTAAAAAAATATTTTAATTTAACTCTCTAACTTGAATAATATACATTAAAATAGTAAATATTCTATAAAATTAAATAATTTTAAAATATAAATCATTTTAAAATAATATTTTTATTGTATAGTTTTAAATTATTTTAATTAAATATTAATAATTAATATAATTAATAATTATAAATTTAAGAGTTAAGACACTTAAAAATAAATTATAAATTTAAGAATAAGAATAAAATAAAATAATTTTTATAAATATTAAAATTTATATAAAATAATAAAGGAAAGTTAAATAAAAATTTTAATATCTAAATTTTTAAAATAAAATTAATAAAGATACCAACAAAAATAAAATTATCGAAGTAAAAGATAATGCAATTCACATGTTATTTTTAATTAATTTTAATATTAAAATATATACATAACACATCGTAAGGAAAGGTAATTTTACTCAAGTTTTACATACTAAATAGTAAACTTTTATTTATAATATAAGAGATTCATTGCTATAAACGGGGACTACCACTACATATTATATTTATATTTAATAATTATGTATAGATAAATGATTATTATTATTATTAGAAAAATAATAAAAAATATTATTCTCAATTTATTAAAAAATGTAAAAATGCACCCACTTTCATAATTTTTTTAATACATTCTAATATAAATTTTTAAAAAAGAATGTATTATTTATTGATTATTTAATTAGTGCTTTAAGTAGTCTTCCTCGTCGTTGATTCTTTAATCCGTGTTCTAAATAATATATTATTGATTATTCTTCTTTCTCTAATTATACCGCAAATTGAAACCTTTGACCTTGCCGTTGAATTTGATATTATTAGCCGTTAAAGCTTTTGACTTGAAAGAGGAAACCTAACTTATGAGCATTAAATTAAAGGATCAATTGATTATTTGGATCATCACACCTACAGTGATCGTAAGTTGATCTACACCAAGTGACCCACCAACTAAATTAACCGCATTTAACCGAACAAAATATCCATTTTTCCCACTACATGTTAAAAGCATTAAATATTTTAAACTATTATAAAAATATATTAATCAATCTTATTATTTTAAAATAATAAATATTTCTATTTTAATACAAATATATTTTAATTTTTTGAAATATTTCTTTCATTATACATTAAAAAATTTATATAAGAAAGTTGGTTCATTAAATTTATTTATAGGATTTTGATAATGAATGTTAAAAAATTGAATAAATTATTAAAATGATAGAAGTAAGAATATTGAGAATAATTTTAATATTTATTTTTTATTATATTTATTTATTTGTATTTATTAATTTTTTACAGAAAATAAATTATTTATTATATTTTAAAATTTTGAATATAATAAATATTTGTTAAATAAATATTGTAACATGTACAAAAGTTGCTTTTACAGGCATTTTATTAAACGTAATATTAGATAAAATAAAAACATACAACTTCTAGTATTAAGAATTAAGAATCATAATGACATTAGATGAACTAACTACGCCTGCCATTGTTTTTATAAAAAAATAATTAATTTTTTTTATTCAAATGTATTTTTCATAAGAATTAAGTAAATATGTTCAAATTGAATAAAATTATTAAAAGAGGCACAAATTTATTTTTAAATATTTAATAGAATTATATTTATCAAAATTTAAATTTAAAACTACAAATTAAGTCAAAACAGTTGTATATAATAATTTATTTAAAATTACATGCGACGAGTCAATAATCACATTATATATTCTTATTCAGAAATAGATTAAAATATTTTTTATATTTTTTAATAATAATAATAATAAATCAATGTTGCAGTAATAGTATGACAATTATAGTAATAAAAATAATTATTATTATATTTGTGAACTAACAATATCAATAATAACTACCATAATAATAAATATGATAGTTAGAGATGCATTACAAAAAATAATTATATACTAATGAAAAATATTAGACAAGA